GGAGCAGAGCGAGTGAAAATAACGATGGGTCTGGTAAGGGCCACGACGGTATTGAACCCATCCTCAGTAATAGCAACAGTCGGGATCGCACGAGGGGTATCAGCAGGAGAGAGGAAGTCGTCCAAGAGAGAAAGTGACGAAGATGATGAAACTGACCCTTATGGCAAAGCCTTAACCGACTTGGAACCACTTTGGAACCGTTTCCAAGGCACTCGAGTACGAAGATAAGACGGCGGGTTGGAAGTCGTGAGGACTGGTGCACACTGTTTGCATTAAATGCTACAGGGCGCTACAATTCTGAGGGAAATGTGAAACTGGTTGAACCGCTCAACTTACTCTCCTAAAATCAGCCCTGCTGATTTTAGAGAGTAGGGGTGCTCGTGATGGTACCATGGATCCTGACCATGGCCCAATTACGTACTCCAGCCCATAACGGGGTCAGCCCTTAACGGGATTAGTCTAATGAGCGGAATTAGCCTATAGATGGGATCAAGTCTTAAAACGGGTTCATGTTAAAGAAGTCGTTAAGCCTGATTAGGGATCAGGCCTAGATAGGAATCCAAGGCCAGACCGGGCTGGACAGCAGACCTCGAGTCTGGGTGGAGTTCTAGTAAGGTTAGGATATTCCTAGGGTTTATGTGGCAGACAATTATTCGAACATAGCTATTTGGCAGCAGGCAGGACTCAATAGGAAACGTGGACTGAAAAAGATAATCATTGCACAGTGGCTGAAGCGCCACATGAGTTCTATTCGAACTAATGTACAATTAATAGCATTAAATGTAAGTAGTTTCTTTCTAGAATACTAACTCCAAAAGTGTATAAATACCTCCTATAAATACCCTGAGAAAGGATCAGAAATCATTGTTCCAAATAATAATAATAATAATAATAATACTGTCTTACGCTGTCATATTTCGATATCTTGCTAAATTTAGCTCCCGTAGTTGGATTAAACTCCATCACATATTTTTAAACATTCACCTAAAATACATATTAGGTGCACGCATTTTTTAAATGCACTTAATAGGAGTCTAATACATATGACACATGAACATATATAGATAATAATAATAATAGTGATGATGATGATAATTTTATTATTATTATTTTACACACCTTTTTGTTAATAATGGTTAATACACAAATTAAAATCTATTGTTTTATACATTAAAACTGAGGTATAAATCAATGATGTGTCAATTTGTGATTGGTTACTAAAAATTTAATTATCACACTGGTTAAAACAATTATTTAATTCTCCCAATGCAAGTTCAGACGGTCCATGATGAGACCATGACTAGATATTCAGCCTTTTTTATTAATATTACTAAATCAAATGTGAAAGACAAAAATATGGCCTCTTTTAAAGTTTTACAGAAATGTGACTTACTATTTCATTATGATGTCTATTTAGTAATGCATTTATTATTATAATTATATTTCTTTTTAATAATTATTAATTAGTCACTATTCACCAGCCACCCTAACAATCACCATTGTTAGTGCTGCCGCCACCAATAGTCTCGCCACTACAATTAACACCACCATAGTGACTATACCGCATTAGTGACTACTGTGACCTTCTGCCAATGACCACTCGCTCCACAGTGACGGCTGCCTCTAGCCCCGCCCATCCAGTGACCACCGTCAGTGACTCCATTGCAGCGACTTATCCACAGTAATCAATCAACATCCATCAGTGACCCCCACCTCCACACACATGACCGTCGTCCACCCGCCTTACCAGCCCCCTCCCCACTCCCCACCACCCTCCCTAGCCTTCGAACCCCTACCCTAGTCCTCCACAACCACTGCTACACCCCCTGCACCCTGCCTATGTTCCTGCAACCACCACATCCCACCCCCACCTACTGAAAATAGGGCTATCGCTCCTCACAAAAATTCTGTGTAGCCCGTAGCCATCGTCGGCTGTCATCGACAACAATGCCAATCGCACGCAATAGAAAGAGAGGAAGATGAGAAGGGGTGTGGAAATGAGCGACGACGACAGATGTGTGTGGCAGCGACGGTGGCGGGATGTTCATAGCAGTGAGAATAGGCTGGCGGCGAAAAACGTTGTGCTCTAGATCTGATGTGCATAGCTCTTGTAGGGAGAGGTTAATCGCTTAGGAGATACACGTAAGAGTTATTAGGGTTTGATTTATTGGGTGTATTTTAATTCATTTATCATTAATTAGCCACTTTTTTGTCCTATTTTAATTATGGTCATATATTTGTCCACTAAAACTCTAGGAGTAATATCTAGGTCGTTATTTCTTTTTTATTTGTACTCCATTTTTTATAAAAAATATATCAAAATTCGCAACTTCTTATGATCTTTCATATGACAACAATATTACATATGTAAAAAAAACTGAAGATCTAATTGAGGAAGATTTTAAAGCCTAAAAATTTTTTGTCAATAAAGCCCAAAACTTTTTATAAGTAGATTCAAATCTTAAAATTAATATTTCATAATTAATTTTTACATTTTTGAGATAATTTTTCATAAAAATAAAATAAAATCTAAAACACCGGATTCCTTATTATCTATGGTTCTATACAACAAACATGAATTATGAAATAATGCTACGAGTAACTCTCTTATTAATTTGACATTATAAATGTTAGGGAAAATTCCCGAAATAGGAGTAAAAAAATTTGAAAATTCTAAAATAGGACTGCCATGTGTTTTCGCCAAAGTAGGAGTGATTACTGCCAAGATTGAAAAATATTGTCATGTTTAAAGTCTGGTACTGCCAAAACATGGCAGTAATTAGTCCTATTTTGAGAATAAAAAAATGATAGACTTATTTTGGAATATATAAACGTATTTATTCCTATTTAGAGAGTAATTTGCCTAAATGTGGATATTACTTTAATTTTACAATCATTGTTTAACTCATTACATGATGCAAATACTCATATAATATAAAAACTAATTCATATTGTAAATTATACTACCCCCGTTCTCTTTTGATTGCAACATTGGACTTTTTGCATTGTTCACATATTCAACTATGACTATATTTTTATTTATTGATGTATTATAAATTAAAGTTTAAAAATATATTTTTAAACTACTCTCATTTTAAATTTTCAAAATCTGAATTTTTAATTTTTTACTAATAAGGAATGAAAGATATTAATGGTCAAACTTGTGCGTTGGTAAACGTGAAAAGAGGACCGTTGCAATTATAAAAGAACGGATGAAGTATTTCATACAATACTAATTAATTAATTATTATATGCATTATCACATTTAGTTTAAACCAGGAGTAAAACATTATGATATGAAAACATGATAACAACACCAATAATGATGAATATATAGTAAGAAAATTAATTTATGTTGTAAATATTAATGTTATTTCAGGATAATAAGAAGTAAAAAGAAAAACATACAAAGTAGTAATTATCTTTACAATAGTATCAATTATAAACTATTGCTCCCTCTGTCCCTAATTGTTCTTCCAATTATGGATTATGAAGTTTGACCAACGATACAGTTTTATTAAATAAATTTATATATTCAGAAACAACATTAAACTCACTGCAAAGCCTGGAAAAAATTATTCAATTTTCATAAGACTTTGATATATAATTACAACATTAACGCTCGAAAAGCGAAATGGAAGACCTTTCAAGGATAAAGGGAGTATTATTTTTAAATAATAATTACAATAATACGGCTATAATTATTTTTATCATCAACATGAATCAGGAACGGATCCATAATTTCGAGTCAAGGGGGGCGAAAATTTTCGTTAGTGTAGCGGGGTTAAAAAAATCACTAGTGTACGAGATGATTTTTTTTTGCTAGTGTAGCGGGGCGATATTTTTTCACTAGTGTAAGCCTCTGTGGCTATATTTATTAAAAAAAATCATTAATACATACACGATGATATTTAAATCTATATGTTACGGAGTACATTCTAAGTTTAGAAAATGGTAAAATAACTTCAATTTTATAATTGGAGTGCTCTAGAAAAAAGTATTGTTACATTAAAATGTAAGAAATGGCAAATCAAATAAAAATAATTTGAAAATTAAAAAGGATATATAACATTTTATTTAAAGAAAAAAAGTTTATAAAGTACACATTCACCAATACTTTTAAAATAACTTTAACATTGTTTAACTACATGAATCTTATAAAATAAAGAATTGGTTTTTGAATTACAATTTTTGTCTACCAGGGAGTGTGTTCATGAGCCACAAGGAGTTTTCTTAATATTACAATAGTATGTATGAGTTTATTATTTTTAGAATAATATTACATTGCTAATTCATATACTACGTATAATATATATAGTGCATACTATATTTGCTAAAATAATTAAAAGTTTATTATCTACTATGTAATTAAATAAAGTCTTTTTAGAACGTAAGAAGTAAATAAATTGTGTAATTTAATTCAACAAACATTTATAAGTTGGATTCACTTCACATGATCTAAAAACCGTGTAACTAATTTGTCTGGTATTTAATATCGTTTGATATATATTTTACAACATCGTTTACTAGTTATCTGATAAAGATAATTAAACATTACAAAATAATATTTTTTATATAATAAGTATCCTAAATCTTAAACAATGAGTTGTTCTATTGTTTATTTATTTAAGTTATGTAAATTATTTTAGATGTTCGTTCTTTTAAATCTCTAATTAATTAAATTAAAAGTTAAGGGGGGCGTATATTAAATTATATACGAAAATATTTAGAAAATTTTGAAAGTCCAAGGGAACGATCACCCTTAAATCTATCCCGAACATGAATAGTAGTAATAATGAAATATAGCAAGAAGAAAAACAGAAATAACAACCACCAGTACAAAATGAAGTTTCATATCAACTTTTGGAATAAAATGTGTGGCTATTTATTTAACAATAATTTAACAATAATATATAAAACCATAACATCATAATATACTCACTTAATTTGTTTTAGTCTACATGAATGGAATTGTAATAATTATCTCGATCTTATATGTATGCAGACAGAGAGATTGCTTAATTACCATAATTGAGGAAAACCTTCGATTGATGGGTAAGAAGACATCCTTAATTATGGAAACCATTTCTGTTTCATCAATTTCTAAAGCAACTTTTGTTTCCAAAACAGCAATAATGGAGAGGGACAGCACTTTGCTGTTCATGTATTGTGCAGTGGGGCTTGCAGGTTCCACACCTCCTTCTTCTCCATCTAAGTATTCCATCGCATATATGCTTCTAATAAGCTTCTTTATTTCTTTTCATATTCCTCTAGTTTGCATCTATGTAATTCATTTATAGGCATGGACAGCCAAGAGTTGGTATGGTTTTATAACTGTTTTTCACACATAGTATGATATGATAGATTTTTTTTAGATAGATAGATATATAGTACATCTATTAATATAATGTAAGATGCAATTGAGTTTGGTGCAGGTTAAGAAAAATAAAGGATAAAGCCGTTGTTTTACGCTTCTAACCTCTAAAAAATAAGAAAGCCTAAGATGGATCTACAAAAAGTAATGGATGAAATGATAAGTAAATAGATGAAGTAAGATAGTAAAATGTTAATGAGTCCAATTTAAAAAAATAGTCATATTTTTAGGACAATCTAAAAAGGACAAAGACACGAAGTGTACCTTATGGAATGGGACAGAGGAATATATCAAATACAAAGTTTTGTTTTAACCAGGTACAATGTTATAGATCACATATATGTTTTTGCCATTGTAATTTGTTAGGGAATGAGTATATACTAATATACGTGCACAATTGTTTTTGCCATTGTAATTTGTAACTTTTAAGGGCATCCTCATCCATGAATTTTTTCGGGGGAGATGTGGAGGATTTTTTTAAAGATCATTATTGAGAAGGTAATATTATTTTGCAAGATTATTTTGAAAAAAAAATATGGTATAAAAAATCAAATCTGGATTATTTTAGGATTATTTGCAAACTTTTAGACTCTTCTCCAACTCCCAATACATTTACACACATTGAGTGAGTCGGTGACTCTTGGGATTAAAGTGACCATTTAGTTCATACTGTGGTGGGAGTAAAAAATTTGATTGGCAAAAATGTTCCAAATTAACTGTGGCCGGGAACGGCCATTTACCTTCAAACCAACTGACACAACTTCGTATATATAGGTTGAATGCAGGCTATCTTTAAATTAGTAAAATTTAAATATAAATGATTAATCTAATTAAATTCAAACTAGTGAACTTTAAGTTTATTAAATTTAAAATTCGTAGTCTATATGTATAAAAATAAAATTAGAGATAACGATAAAGTTCGAAATATGCTAAGCAATGTTGTGTGATGGATATGAATGAGAAACCATCATTAAAGTGTAAGAGGAGAACAAATCTCTACATTATTGATCTAAAATCTGTATGATCCACCATATTCATATGTCTCATGTCCAAAGCTTCTAAAGAACAAAACAATCTATGACACAGACGTCTCTCACACTTGAATCTACCAACAATGACCGTGTTGAGATTATAACTCATTACTCATATATGCTCGACTGGACGTCTGGTGTGTATGTGTACATGATCTACTCTATCATCGTTGGGTTGACTGTGTCATCGTAATTTACATCTTGCACATGTGCTACTGTGTCGGGATGTGGGCGGCTCTTAGTATTAGTATGGATTCCATCAATTGGAAGAAGGATCCTCTCACAGGACTCACAATGGGTGTCATCCTAAAGGAAATTTCCCATATAAATTTGGTAGATTCTATGGTACCCATAAGAGCATCCACATTCATGTTACTTAAATAAATGGATTTTTCATGACACGTAGATTTTGTCAAAATAATCTCACACTTTCTAAATTACACCATTCATCGTCTCAAAATAATCGGATCTTTTGTGGGTCCCTCACTCACCAATTAACACTATTGCACAATAATCTTGAGATAATCTGGATTCATATTTCAATCCAGGATCATTTTGTCAAATAATTTCACCAAATAATCTTCATCACTCAATCATGATCCCAAAAATAATTCGACACCTCACCAACTCAATCCTCAAATAATCATATGGATGAAAATGCCCTAAGGTACCATACCTTTGTCCCCGTGGACCAATGAGAATGTAGCAGTTGAATTATTTAAATCTAAATTAAAAAAGATAAAGTGGTGTGATCCAATCAAATTAATGGTAGATACGGTACCCCATTTTTTAGAAAGGTACCGGAATTGTCACCTATAAATTTATCGAATCCTTAAACATATCGAATGAGTGGGCTTGAACCGTCCATGTGCACTTAATTAGATTTTTGTTGAAAAGCTATGCCCGGTTTTGGTGTATCTTGAATTAAGTGTCTCCCGGCCCTTAATTTCGATGGTATTAATTATTGGAAGATTGATTGGATATGCTCTCCGGCCGATCCATTGCATGAATCACGGGTTGTTAGCTCTATTTTGGTCGGTTTCAGACTTTCTGTTATGCTTTAATTTGTGCCACCTTATTTAATATAGTGCGTGACGAAACTGTCGATATTTCGCCAGCGTGGGTTACGTTGGGAGACTAGAGCTATTCGTCACTATGGTTATAAAATGACATTTTATTTCTTCTTTTCCTCTCTCTGGATTCAAAACAAAAATCAAAAGTTGTTCCAAAACATTGAGACCCAAAAGGTCCTTAACTCCTTTCTTTACCGGAATAGGATTAAGATAAAAAGAAAGTTCACTAACTAAATAGGATTAAGATAAAAATAAAGTTCATAAATAGTATTATCATTGTTTTATTTTCAAAATATGACTTATTCAGTGCTATTTTGAAAAACGTTAATCAAATCTTTATCTTTATCTTTATTTTTATCTTTATCTTTATCTTTATATTATTATTATACTTAAAGACATTACATATGAGAGAGAAAGATTCTTCCGCCTAAGATTATGACCTAAAATGTAATTTCGCCACTCAGCATTTCTACGCTCACCATATCTCCTATTCAGCCCACCTCCTGGACTTCATGCCTTCTCCTCTCTTCTTCTTTTCCGGAATTTTCCATACGATTTCCGTGGATCTCTTCGACCCACCTTCTCTTCGACGTTTTAAGCATTTGATTGAAGAGCTTCAGGAGTTCTTCTGATTCTCTGAGCCGCATGGAAGATGAAGTCACCTAGCGGCTTGAATTCATGGAGGTATCACCTTCAAGTAGCTATTTTTGTATGATTCTATTGACTCACTAGCTAAACCTTTGCCATTCTGATTTGTTTCTTCTTGAGCTTTTGTAATTTGAGGCTTCCGGACGTGGTGCATGGGAAAGTATGGCCTTGATCGAAATTGGCTGCTATGAACAAACCACAACGATTCACTCTGCCCCCAAATCATATATTCCATTGGTAATGCTTTCGTGTTGTCTTCTCACCAAATGAATTCGATGTTCTATTTTCATGTCATATTTTTCTTGATTCATAAGCTGTCATTTGGATGAGCATTCATTTTGACTGAAATTTTCAGTTTTTTCTTCTTAATTTAAATTTCTGTGCATAAATACGGACAAAAATAGAATATATAGTAACTACCATTAACAAAAAATACAACGATATTGATACAGAATTAATTAGGTTTGGTACGAATCATAACATTTTTTGGCACAGCTCTGTGCCAAACAGTCATGGCAAAACAACATTGGCCTGAAAGAGAATGTGACACCATTTTGACATATCCGTGCCAAATCCCCTATGAATATTGGTGTATACGTGCCAAATTCATGCTTGTTCGATTATTTGTTTGTAGTGCACCCTGCTGCGATGCGTAGTATATATCTATATAAAAATATTTATAATTTATAAAAATAACATATTGATCTTTTCCATTATCATATTCAGGACATAGACAAAAATAAATATTCCCTCCGTCCTTTAAAACTTTTCCATCTTTCCTTTTTGGGACGTCCCAAAAAACTTTGTCACTTTCCCTTTTAATCAATTATGTTGTGATTTCTGTTATTTCTCTCTCCTCTGCACAAATCTCAACCACATCGTTTAACTTTATTATCCTTCGTGTCGGTTAATTTTGGCAAATTTTTAAGGGACGGAGGTAGTATGTGTCTGGCCACCTAATTCAAAACTTATAAGGCATACTTTTTCAAAAGCCATTTAGAATTCATTCATGCCATATCTTAAGTCCAAATTCGTAGAACCATTCAGAATTGGACGCTGTCACATAGCTTTTTAAACAACACCAACCACGAGATTATGGAGGTGTTTGGCAATCGCCTGTTGGCTAGCTTTTGACTGATTGTTTTAGCTGATTGATGACAACATATTTTGTTGGCTGTTTTAATTAGCCGATAGCATTAGCAGTTTGTAAGTGATGTTTGATTATATGGTTGTTTATATTTAACTGATAACTTATTAAATGACCTTTTAGGACATCAATTTTTTTATTAATAATATGAGTACTACTACATAAACACCTTTTTATGATTAAAAGGTTAAATGTATTAACACAAATAATAATTAATTTAAATCTGTACTTTTTAAATTCGTAATCCATTCTTCATACTTTTTTATGAGATCAAAATTTTTTTTTATGAGATTCCACGAAGGAGGAGGCAATTCCAATCAAAATCCCATTTCTTTTATTAATAATAATCCATTCCTCGGTGTTTCTTATGAGATGATCTTTGGCTGACAACCACGTTTCCAGTCGAAATCCCTCTCTATCCATCTCTGCACGTTTCCCGCCTCACACAAACTAATGAAATAACACCATATCATACTTTTGTATACACATACACATATAAAGCTAATTATAGAAGAAGGCCGCTTTCTCCCAACATTGGATTTTGCTCTTCGGTGGAAGAAGATCTAGGTTGGCAGAATTTTATTTTTTCTCTTCGGTGGAAATGTTTTCTGCAAGTAGGAGGGGATTCGTATATGACTGGTAGAATTCAGGAAGAAGAAACTTCGAAAATTCTAACATATATTGCAGGAATTCCAAAGGAAAGAATGGAATTCGAACTAATAGTGTACAGAAGGAATTAGCTCATCAACAGAGAAAGAGAAGAGGGAAGTTTAAACATCATCGTGATCGTTCATACAATCCAATTACAGTATATGTAATGACATGCTAACTACTCACAACTAACTATAACAACTAACTGAAGAAGACCCGCTTCTAACTTCTTCCAGCATCTTCCACGCTAGTTGTCAATTAGTTCTTAGCTTATATGGGACTCGTTCCTTTATTACTCCCTAGCTGACGTGACTTTGAGTGCATAACAATCCTTCCCCCCTTAAAACAAAGCTTGTCCTCAAGCTTTGAAAATTTTGTCAGTTCAAAGGAAAATCTGGGTATCTCTTGACAAAATCTTCATACCATTCCCAAGTAGCATCTTCAGTCGTTCCATTTGACCATTGTACCAATAGATAAACAGCTCCTGCATTCCCTTTTTTAGTAATCTTTCTTTCCAAAATGGCAGCAAGTTCTATCTGCAGTTGTAGGGAGTTATCCATCATAGGGATATAACTAGTTAAAGGTAGAGGACCATGATGTTTCTTAAGCTGAGAGACATGGGAAACTGGGTGGATCCTTGCCCCTTCTGGCAGTTTCACCTTATAGGCCACCTTACATATCTTATGAGTAATCATAAATGGTCCAAAATACTTGGGAGCTAACTTCTGATTGCTCCTATAGACTACACATTGTTGTCTATAGGGCTGGAGCTTAATATACACTCATTCTCCTTCAGCATAATCCTTATCAGTTCTGTGCCTGTCAGCTTGCACCTTCATTATGTTTTTGGCTCTTTCCAAATGAAATTTAAGCATGGAAATACATTCTTCCCTTGAGGTTAAACTTCTGTCCACTTCTGCGACTTCACAATCTCCATTTAAAAGGAAATGTATAGCCGAAGATTGTCCATATACAACCTCATAAGGGGTTCTACCAATAGATGTGTGAAAGTTAGTGTTATACCATCATTCAGCTAAGGGTATTCAATTAGCCCAATCCTTAGGATTCTCCCCTGTCATACACCAGAGATAGGTTTCCAAGCATTTGTTGACTACTTCCGTTTGCCCATCTGTTTGGGGGTGATAGGCAGTGGACATTAATAGCTCAACCAGCTGCAATTTGAACAATTCCTTCCAAAAGTGACCAAGGAAAACCTTATACCTATCACTGACAATGGTTTTGGGCAGACCATGCAGTTTATAAATGTTGTCAAAGTAGGCTTTAGCGACTGTAGAAGCAGAAAAAGGATGGGTGAGCAATATGAAATGTGCATACTTACTCAAACGATCTACAACAACAAATATGGTGTCCTTCCCCTGTGATTTAGGCAATCCTTCAATAAAATCCATGGAGATGTCTACCCAAATAGCTCCTGGGATTGATAAAGGCTGTAGAAGACCAGATGGTGCTTCTAACAAGGGTTTGCTCCTTTGGCAGATGGTGCGTGTTCTAATGTACTTCCTGATATCCTTTTTCATTCCTTTCTGATAAAAGAGGGGTTTCATTCTTTGGTAAGTAGCTTGAACACCTGAATGTCCTCCTAATGCTGAGTTGTGTATCATAGAGATGAGCTCAGTTCTGAGGTTTCCTTGATCTCCAACAACCAACCTTCCTTCCTTCATTAACTTCCCGTAAGTAATATTTGAGAGGGCATCAGTTTGCAAGTTCTGAATAATACTTTTGCAAGTCTCATCCTCCCAAATAAACTGGATTCGTAGGCTTTAGCGACTGTAGAAGCAGAAAAAGGATGGGTGAGCAATATGAAATGTGCATACTTACTCAAACGATCCACAACAACAAATATGGTGTCCTTCCCCTGTGATTTAGGCAATCCTTCAACAAAATCCATGGAGATGTCTACCCAAATAGCTCCTGGGATTGATAAAGGCTATAGAAGACCAGATGGTGCTTCTAACAAGGGTTTGCTCCTTTGGCAGATGGTGCATGTTCTAATGTACTTCCTGATATCCTTTTTCATTCCTTTCCAATAAAAGAGGGGTTTCATTCTTTGGTAAGTAGCTTGAACACCTGAATGTCCTCTTAATGTTGAGTTGTGTATCATAGATATGAGCTCAGTTCTGAGGTTTCCTTGATCTCCAACAACCAACCTTCCTTCCTTCATTAACTTCCCGTAAGTACTATTTGAGAGGGCATCAGTTTCACAGTTTGCAAGTTCTGAATAATACTTTTGCAAGTCTCATCCTCCCAAATAAACTGGATTCTTTGCAACAAGTCAGATCTCAATTGAGTCGATATTAGACTCTGCCATTCTCCTCCATAGACCCTAGATAAAGCATCAACTGCTATATTCTCATTTCCCTTCCTATAAATGATTTCATAATCCAGGCCAAGCAATTTTGGCAAGCATTTGCTTTGGAAGGAAGTGGTAATCTTCTGCTCCAACAAATATTTTAAACTGAAATGATCAATTTTGATCAAGAAATGTCTTCCCACTAGGTAGGGCCTCCATTTTTCTACTGCTAAGATTATAGCCAGTAGTTCTTTCTCATAAGTAGATAAAGATTGATGCTTTTCAAAGAGTGTCTTACTGATGAATAAACTTCCCTCTTCTCTTTCTCTGTTGATAAGCTAATTCCTTCTGTACACTATTAGTTCGAATTCCATTCTTTCCATTGGAATTCCTGCAATATATGTTAGAATTTTCGAAGTTTCTTCCTGAATTCTACCAGTCATATACGAATCCCCTCCTACTTGCAGAAAACATTTCCCCTCCATATATACACTTACACACGTACCGTGGATTCAACCTCCTTTTCCATTCTTTATTCCATCGTTTGCATTTCTTTCAACCTCCTTTAAAGTACTCACAAACTGCAAATACAAAAAAACCATTATATATACGAATACTTTCAAAATCAATACTATGTATTCAATCGTTCAATAAACAATAACAAAATAAGCACCAAATTACTATTTCGGTTAACTTTTTGGTTTCTTTGTTCACACTTCTTAATTTTTGTAATGGTATGTTAATGTTGGACTCACTTCATAGACAATATGTGAGATAGCATTACATTTAAAGGTTTTGTTTTTAATTTTTTTGTCTCTCAATGAATACCATTCTTAAATTAAATTTGACCTATAATTTGGGATGGATGGGGTGCAGACGGCAGACGTCCAGTGCATTTTCAATTTTCACTTTATGAACACAATTTTATATAAAAAGAGAGAGCTAACTAGAAAGGATGAGGAATTACACATTAAAATGCAGAGTCAACTGTAATGTTGGAATGTTTTAACATCGGGATGGCAATAGCTGTACAATTTTAAAGTAATGCCATAAACCAAATGTTAGATTTTGTTTATCATGCTATGCTGCAATAAGCTTATCAATCAGCAATAACAAAAGCAAAGAAAAATCCCTGCTGCCAAAACAGAAAATAAGCAAAACTAGAAGAATAAAAAATGATTGTTTGAAATAGAAAACAAAAGCTTATTTGGCAAAATAAGCTCTAAGAACAAGAGCTTGTAAGAAAATCCTAGTACATGTTTCTCAAGAAAATCCCTAAATTAGATTTGATGAATAAACCAATTACATACCGAATTTGTTCGAATATGCTCAAGGGACCTTCCAATGCTCAAAAATCTCAATAGATTGGGTTAAGTTCCTCTTCCGCAATTATGCTCCGGCAGCCAGGGAGCGAAGGCAACAACACTATCTCGTCGGTTGCGATGGAGAGAAGAAGCCATCGTCTAGTTGCGGTGGATAGTAGGCAACCTGGAAAGCACCGGTCTTCTGGTTTTTGTAGAGAGAGCCGTCGTCTGGGGTTGCGGTGGATAGTAGGAAGAGCCGAAGAGGGACATGACTTCTGGTTTTGGTAGATACCAGGAAACGGCAAAAGAAAAGAAAGCTCCGTTAACCCAAAGTCCCCGTCTCTTACCCAAGGACTCAACTGCAATTTTTTTTCTTGACTGTAATGCTCGATCAATATAGTGCTTATCCACATGTCAACTTTTTATTTGGCCACATAAGCAGGGTACTGTATCCAAAAAAATAATTTGGGCACCATAGAAAAACTTAACTGACCGAGTGAATACGTATAAACTGGAGGGGAATTAGATTTATTGACGGGTTGGGTTGCGGTTAGCCTAAGAGCTCATTCAATCATTCATTATGTAATAGGTGTAAATTTGACGTAACATGTGTAGGTAATGGTTGAATTTGATGTAATTGGTATGAGGGACTTATCTATTTAAAAAAACATTGTTAAGAAAAAGTAATACTCCCTCCGTTCCTTATAACTTTGCCAAGTTTTCTTTTTTTGTTGTCCCAAAAACTTTGTCAATTAAGGGTTCCTAATATTTCTGTCTCCTCTGCAAAAATTTCTACCACACAATGTTTACTTTATTATTCTACGTGTCGGTCAAACATGGCAAACCTTTAAGGGACGGAGGCGGTACTATATACTACCTATGTCCCAATTTTTGAATTAGGTGAGAAATCTTTGAATTAGGTGAGAAATAAGAATAGTAAAAATTGTGTGGTTGAAATTTATGCAGAAGAGAGAGAAATGAGAAGAATCACAAAATAGTTACTTTAATGAGAAAGTGAAAAAGTTTTTTGGGAGAACAAAAAACGAAAAGTTGACAAAGTCCAATGGGACGGAGGGAGTATGTGTGTGTGTGTTCAATAATAATATCGATTTATGTAGTTTTTGTTTTTACGGTATGTAGTTTGTTACATTACTCCCGTGCAGCAACGCACAGGTGTAGTAACTAGTTAAGGTTTAAATGCATGAAACCTATACTATTATCAAAATATTTTCTCTGTTTACAAATACATCAAATACATTAAAAATGTAATATACATTTATTACTTTTAAAATGCATACAATATGTGCAAGTACTGTATAAAATATGGAGTGCATGAATTCAAGTTTTGGAGAAGTGCATTAATGTATCAAGCCATAATAAGCCATAACATAGGTGTGTTAGATTATTGGACTTATATTGTATGTAATATTCACAATATATTATTTATCGGGTTTAATTGTATGTTATATGCTATCTTATATTTAGGCCCAAAAATTAGTGGTCCTATGGATATTAATTTAAGTGGGCTAATAAGTTATCTAATAAGGTATAGGGCCCAAATGTGTAGAGACCCATGGGCTTGACCTAATCAATGATGGGCTGATTAGGGTTAAGCACTCTCTATAAATAAGGGGTTATAGTCCCTAGTTGAACACGCCATTCTGTCTTTCTGCATCCCATCGCTAGAGAGATAATCCCGAGGGTGTGTATCAGCTAGAAGACACAAACCCTAGCCTCCGTCTCCCGGATCTCTAAAGGCCATCTCCCATGGAGTCAGGTACGCTTCCGCTCAGTTAATTCTCCAGATAATTTCAATATGAAGATTAAAGTATTCATGGATTTATTTCAACAATTGGTATCAGAGCCACCTTCATATTGAATTATTTGGAGTCAATTTAACCTACCGATTCACTGAAATCAGGGTAATGCGATTTTGTGTTTATGCAATTCATTCCTGATATATTCACGTATCATATCGGTAGTTAATGAATAAACGAAACGATTGAATTTTCTGCTATTTCGTTTTTTGTGAAAATTGCCGATCGATCTTAAATTAGGGTAGTGTGATTTACTTTTATGTAATTCATTCCCCTGTAATTCCCATGCTTGAATCGATGCTGATAGATTAATTGAAACCTTAATATTGGAGTTTTTTTTGTGATCGTGTTTTGTCCCAACTGGAGTTTCACTTCAACTCTATATGCAATTACGTTGATGTGAAGCAACTACGTTGTTGTGTTCTTTTGGGTAATTTAAACATTCGGATGGTGGAATTAAACACCTTAAGGAGTATATTTTTTTTATATTTTGAATTTCGGCAATTAGTATGGTGGAATTAATCATTCGGTTTTTTTATTTTTATTTTGAGTCAGTCAAACTTGCGATTGATTTGTTGGTGAGATGATTCAATGGTCTAGTTTATTTTCTTCTTTTTATTGTTAATTATTGGAATCATCTTTTGGATTCACTGGTTTAGAAATAAATGGATGATCAAATCATATTTAGTGAATGTTAATTTATCACTTTTTATTATGATTCGTTTCCGGTTCTTTTCGGTGAATCAATTTTTGGAATTTTTTATGGCTTGAGTAGTTAAATACTTATATGTGATTTTTTACCGATTTTGGTAATTAAATACTTATATGTGATTACGGGCAAAATCAGTTCCATTAGAATTGCATATTTAGAAATAAATTACTTTTATTGGTGATCATGATTTACAGTTTAAAAATGTATTATGTGTTATGGATGTATAAACCCTAATTTGTGATCACATAAAGATTGGGTACAGGTTTTACAAATTTCGTTACACATAACACATTTGCATGTGATTCAGAAAAAATTCGCCCAATTTTATTTTCAGATTGTTGATTTAATATTAGCATGTCTAATATTTGGGTTGATTAATTGACGCAACATGCTGCCAAAGTAGCCTCTCTTGTTGAAATTAATTAACTCATATATTAAGATGATTGTGTACTTTCTTATTTCATGCGGATAGTAATCGGCCCAAAGGAAGGTTATTATTTGGCCGAAATTTAAGTGCATTTGTGATAATAAAAATTTGTGATGATTATGAAGTTTTTTCGTGTGAATATTAAGTCGGTCCAAAGAAAGGCTTAATATTTGACAAGATTTTATTATCAAAATTTTATTATCACACCAAGAGTACCACTTGCAAGTCTAATTTATGTCCAAAGACAAGATTAGATGTTGCGCTAGGTATCTTGTGATGGGGATTGCTAATATTTAAATTTAAAATTAATTATAAAATTAATTTCAATTCCTAGAGCATATCATTTATATTATTTTTGTTCTCTTTCAGTCAACAATTCTGCTGCTACAATATCTGCTAATATTAATAGCATCCCAGTGCTTAACGGCACGAATTTTAAGGAATGGAAAGAGAATGTTATGATCGTTCTCGGTTGCATGGATCTAGACCTTGCACTTCGGACTGAGAAACCCGCCGCTCTTAAGGACACATCTACCCTCGATGAAAAGAAGGAGATGGAGAGGTGGGAACGCTCAAACCGCATGAGTCTAATGATCATGAAACGTGCAATTCCAGAATCATTCAGGGGCACAATGTCTGATGAGGCCGATGCCAAATCATTCCTTGCCGAACTTGAAAAGCGTTTTGCTAAAAACGAAAAGGCGGAAACTAGTACTCTTTTGAGCACTCTTGTTTCCATGAAGTATAAAGGCAAAGGGAACATAAGGGAGTACATTTTGGAAATGTCTCATATTGCTTCGAAACTAAGTGCACTAAAGCTTATTTTACCTGAGGAATTGCTTGTGTATTTAGTTTTGATCTCTCTTCCTTCTCAATTTAATCAATTTAAAGTCAGTTACAACTGCATTAAGGAGAAATGGTCTCTCAATGAGCTCATTTCTCATTGTGTTCAAGAGGAAGAGAGAATAAAGCAAGATAAGACAGAAAGTGCTCATTTGGCATCTACCTCTAAGGGCAGCAATAAAAGAAAAATTAAGGAAGCTGCAAATTCGGGGCCTCCCAGGAAGCATCACAAGGAAACTAAGGAAGAAACTAAGGAATCTGGATGCTTCTTTTGCAAAGGGACTAATCACAAGAAAAAGAACTGCACTAAGTACCATGCTTGGCGTGCGAAAAAGGGTATGTCTCTTGCTCTTGTTTGTTCTGAGGTTAATTTAATTTCGGTACCAAAAGACACTTGGTGGGTAGATTCCGGTGCTACTACTCACATAAGTGTATCTATGCAGGGTTGCCTGAGCTGCCGAAAACCAATTGATGGTGAAAGATACATCTATGTCGGTGATGGCAAGCGGGTTGAAGTTGAGGCTATCGGTGTTTTTAGATTATTATTAAAGACTGGTTTTTATTTGGATTTGAAAGAGACATTTGTTGTGCCGTCATTTAGGCGGAATTTAATTTCTATTTCTGCATTGGATAAATTTGGTTATTCTTGTTCATTTGGAAATAGCCAGTTCAGTCTATTTCAAGATTCAAAACTTATTGGCACTGGTCTTTTATCAGTTTATGATAATCTATATTCACTTGATATAAATACCTCATATAATGAAACCTTGCATGTAAGTACTCGTGGTACTAAAAGAAAATTAACCAATGAGAATTCGTTTTCACTTTGGCACAAGCGTCTAGGACATATTTCTAGAGAAAGAATTCAGAGACTTGTGTCAGATGGAATTCTTGATTCTCTTGACTCCTCAAATTTTGATATTTGTGTTGAATGCGTTAAGGGAAAACAAACGAACAAACGGAGATTAGGTGCCGAGAGAGCTTCAGATCTATTAGAATTGATATATACGGACATTTGTGGACCATTCCCTACACCATGTAGAAATGGCCAAACATATTTTATCACATTCATAGATGATTACTCTCGTTATGGTTACCTTTATCTCATTCATGAAAAGTCCCAATCAATAGACGTGTTCAAATCTTATAAGGCCGAAGTTGAAAATCAATTAGGCAAAAGAATAAAAACCGTTAGATCTGATCGTGGTGGTGAATACTATGGTAGATATGATGGTTCCGGTGAACAACGTCCAGGGCCATTTGCTAAATACCTAGAGGAGTGTGGAATTGTTCCTCAGTACACCATGTCAGGAACTCCTAGCATGAATGGTGTTGCTGAGAGACGAAACCGTACATTGAAGGACATGGTTAGGAGTATGATTTGTCATACTACTTTACCCGATTCACTCTGGGGAGAGGCACTGAAAACTGCAGCTTACATACTTAACAGAGTTCCCACTAAAGCTACAACTAAAACCCCTTATGAAATTTGGACTGGAAAGAAACCCAGTATAAATCATTTCCATGTTTGGGGTTGTCCAGCTGAGGCAAGGCCTTATAGCCAAATGAAAAGAAATTGGACTCAAGAACAGTTAGTAGCTATTTTGTAGGATACTCTGAGAGGTCAAGAGGGTATAAGTTTTATGATCCCACTACCAGGACTGTTTTTTAGACGGGTAATGCCCGGTTCTTTGAGGATATTGAGTTTGGGGGGTGGGGAGATAAGGTTAGAGATTTTGTCTTTGAGGAAGAGCATGTTACTCTTCCTTCAGTTGTCATTGAACATGATCAAGATATTTTTATTCCTAATGATGTTCAAGAAACAACTCAAGTTCATGACAATCTCGAAAACATCCCCAATCAAGTACCTGAATTTATGAATGAGGATCAAACTCAACAATCTCAAGAACCTGAGGTGCCTTTAAGGAGATCCACTCGAGAGAGGAGAAGCGCAATTCCGGATGATTATATTGTATTTCTCCAAGAACATGAGGAAAATTGGGAATTGGTGGAAGAAATAATTGTCTTCCTCCAAGAACAAGAATCAGATGTTGGTTTTGCGGAAGATGATCCAATCAACTTCCGTCAAGCCATGGAAAGTTCTAACTCTCAAGAATGGATTAATGCCATGAAAGATGAGATGAAGTCTATGAGTGACAATGACGTTTGGGAGATAGTCTCATTGCCTGAAGGTATTAAACCCATTGGTTGTAAATGGATATTTAAAATCAAGAGGGATTCAAAGGGCAATGTTACAAGGTTTAAAGCTCGTCTTGTTGCTAAAGGCTACACTCAAAAGAAAGGAATTGACTATAAAGAGACTTTCTCTCCGGTATCCTCGAAAGACTCTTTTAGAACAATAATGGCATTAGTGACACATTTTGATCTTGAGCTTCATCAGATGGATGTAAAAACTGCGTTTCTCAATGGTGACATTGAGGAATCAATCTATATAGAGCAACCAGAAAACTTTGTTTCGGGGGATTCAAAGAAAATGGTTTGCAAATTAAAGAAATCCATCTATGGGCTCAAACAGGCTTCTCGTCAGTGGTATCACAAGTTTCATAAAATCATTATATCTTTTGGTTTTCAACCAAATGTCAGTGATGATTGTATATACCACAAGTTCAGTGGGAGTAAGCATATTTTCCTGGTCTTGTATGTTGATGACATACTGCTTGCTACTAACGATATAGGCTTATTACACGAAACTAAGAGATTTCTTTCAAAGAATTTTGAAATGAAAGATCTTGGTGAGGCTTCTTTTAAATTAGGAATTCAAATTCACCGAGATCACTCCAAAGGCGTTCTTGGACTCTCACAAAAGAGCTATATCGATAAGGTTCTCAAAAGGTTTGGTATGCAAGACTGCAAACCAGGAGATACCCCAGTTTCTAAGGGAGACAAGTTTAGTCTCATGCAGTGCCCTAAGAATGGTTTTGAATCTAAAGAAATGAGGAACATTCCTTATGCTTCGGCTGTAGGAAGTTTGATGTATGCCCAGGTTTGTACAAGGCCTGATTTGGCATACATTGTTGGGATGTTAGGCAGATATTTGAGCAATCCGGGAATGGACCATTGGAAAGCAGCCAAAAGGGTCATGCGGTATTTACAGAGAACAAAGGAATATATGCTCACATATCGGAGATCGGATCAGCTTGAGATCATTGGGTATACCGACTCTGATTTTGCTGGATGTCAAGATAGCTTGAGATCCACTTCAGGCTACATCTATATTCTAGCTGGAGGAGCTATCTCCTGGAGGAGTATCAAGCAGACTCTTACAGCTACTTCCACCATGGAAGCAGAGTTTATAACATGTTATGAGGCATCCAATCAGGCACTATGGCTGCGAGATTTTGTTAGTGGACTACGCATAGTGGACAGCATTGAAAGACCACTTAAGCTATTGTGTGACAATAGATCAGCAGTCCTCTATGCTAAGAACAACAGTAGTTTGACCAAGGCAAAACACATTGGGGTCAAATTTAAGGCTGTTAAGGAACGAGTACAAGAAGGAAAGTTATCTATAGAGCACATTAGCACAAACTCAATGATTGCGGATCCGCTCACTAAAGGATTACCACCCAAAGTGTTTCATGAGCATGTTGCACAAATGGGTGTCAAATCAGTTGAGGATTATGAGTTTTAGTGGGAGTTTGTAATGTTTCTATATTTGGTTAATTGACTTGATTCAAGTTTTTAAGGTTATTTTCTGCAGAAATTAAGTTTAAAGTTTTATGTACTCTTACAGTTATATTATTGATCTCAAGGTGGACCAGTTGGAAATAGACATTCTATTCCAGACCACACTTTATGTTATTTCCACGCTACACACCTATACTTGATCCATGTCATTTATTATATTAATATATGTGATCATTGATGGGTCTAGTTATTCAAATATAGCAAAGACTTCTTTGATCCTATGTTGATATAATTAATGGACCGGATTGATTAAAGATGACTACATTTTGATAGCAAAATTTTGGAGCTCCTAAAGTAAACATACAATTCTGAGGATTGTGTATACATGTGTATGTCGTCCAAGTGGGAGATTGTTAGATTATTGGACTTATATTGTATGTAATATTCACAATATATTATTTATCGGGTTTAATTGTATGTTATATGCTATCTTATATTTAGGCCCAAAAATTAGTGGTCCTATGGATATTAATTTAAGTGGGCTAATAAGTTATCTAATAAGGTATAGGGCCCAAATGTGTAGAGACCCATGGGCTTGACCTAATCAATGATGGACTGATTAGGGTTAAGCACTCTCTATAAATAAGGGGTTATGGTCCCTAGTTGAACACGCCATTCTGTCTTTCTGCATCCCATCGCTAGAGAGATAATCCCGAGGGTGTGTATCAGCTAGAAGACACAAACCCTAGCCTCCGTCTCCCGGATCTCTAAAGGCCATCTCCCATGGAGTCAGGTACGCTTCCGCTCAGTTAATTCTCCAGATAATTTCAATATGAAGATTAAAGTATTCATGGATTTATTTCAACAAGGTGTGGTAAACTAATTTAACATTTCATCAAACCATATATAATACATTTTAATAGGTCAATGGATATTTCTTTATAGATAATCAAAAGCTAGAAGGTTGGTGTTTTGACACTCAGTCTCAAGATTTCATCAAAAGCATACTGAATCAATGACTTTATCTTGTCCCCATCTATGAAGGCAATCGTGAGTCTAAGATTTCCCTTGAACTGAATCAAATCTCCCTTGGCGTATGTAGTGAGCAAAAAGAGTATCATTGAAGTAAGATGCACTTCAGATCAGTTTTGGCCAAAAATGAATCTAATATAACTACTCATAATGTTAAATTTCTAGCATCAACTATTCATTATAGCTGTTTTTTCTTTGAAATTATAGCTGTTATATCATGCGAAGGATTGAACTTTGTGGACGTGACTCCATTTTTACAATGAATTAATCATAAGTGTTAGATAAGTGTAAAATATGAGCAAGTAAAATTGTAGTGTATATATTTGAAAACGTTGAAGACTTGGGCGGCTAAAATTAGTAAATTATATTGATGAGCAACGATTGAAACTAATTGTTATTTGTTAATAAAACAAATATTGATGAGCAAGACATTGAATCACTGAAATGCTCTAATGGTAACAATTGAAGTTGGAATGACCAATTTCTAGTTACCCATGCAACGAAAATATATTTCAATAGAGCATGCGTAACTAGATGGTGGTGGTAAGCGAGGTGGGCCAGATGACGGCAACTAGAAAGATGTAGCGGCCGCCGGAGTTTGTGTAGTGCAACGACAACGGCCACCGGAGTTTGTGCAGTGTGTCGGCGGCGGCAGATGGTCAGAGGGGCAAGGAGATATTGGCATTGCTTCCTAAATGTCACTGTTAGGCAAACATGGTCGGGAGGGGGTCTATTGCGGTGTCCTTGGAAAAGTCGCCGGAAAATGTTGTTAGAAAATTTTTTGACGGTTAGTGACATCCGTAAGTGACATGAAAATCTGGCAGTGACAATTTTGAGTGACATGAAAAAATTCTAGTGACATGAAAAAGTTATAGTGACATAAATTTTTGCTATGACATCATACCTTTTCAAATGTATGACCTTATTAATAACATTTTTTGTGAGTATGTAAAAGTAGTCACATTTTCGGAAAATTACTTCAATTTAGTACTCCCTCCGTTCCTATTAAAACTTCCAACTTTCCTTTTTCGTCCGTTCCAATTAAAACTTCCACTTTCCCTTTTTAGTAAAGAATTTGTGGTTCACAACATTTCTTACACATTTCTCTCTCCTCTGCACAACTCTCCACCACACAATACCCAAAATCTTAAATTGTGTGCCAAATCTATTTGGAAGATAAAATAGGAACGGAGGGAGTAATATTTAGGGAAAACTCTCATATTTTTTACTTGGATTAGTTTAATTTTAGTCCTAGACTAGTTCAGATCGGACCAGATCATACTTAAACTGACCATGTCAGAGCAGAATAAACTAGACCATAAAAGATTAATCCAATTAAACTTATTCATAGTCCTGTAACTTTCAATTGTGTGTCTGTTATTAGTATTGTAACTTTCCAAATCATTTATTCTAGCTTCTTCCTTCATTGAAATACTTTTTAATTGAAGGAACAAATTTAAATGGTTGTCTAATATGAGACTGTCTACATCCCTATAATATGAACAAATTTATATATCAAATCTGTTAATATGAAAGAAAGGAATCAACACCGTCAATTCAGTTTTTCTCTGCATTCCAGGACCTCAGATGAAATCCTCTTTACGTTTTTTCACATATCGAGTTTCATAAAATATTACTAAAATTACAATAAACGATGAATCAATGTATTTCTATAATTGTTTTCTGATTTGTTTTAAATTTAAAAATGCACATTTCAACGTAAAAATTTAAAACATGGTTAAGTTAATTTTAAATTTTTTTAGATAAGAAAATTTTAAAAAGAAAGAAAAGTGAAAGATATTATTTGAATAGTTGGGTTTCATTTTGGATATTTGGATCAATCTTTCCTTTCAAAAAACAGTGTCCAATTCAATATTTGCTTGATCACCACACGAGACCACTTCACAAGCACATCTGCTGCTCCATTACTTTTTTAGCAAGTAGCCGTCCACCTTTCCAAATGGGGGAGTCGATCAGCTCTCTAAAAAGAGACCTGCCTCAAATGCTCCGGCCCAATCGTTAGGAGTCCAAGAATGTTTTTACTCAAAGCCCGTTTGGTAAACCTGTATAACAATTTATTTATTACTCAAAGTCTACGTTGTTTTCCGTCTGAGTCATAAAAAAAAGGATGACACCTATGCATTTTTTCAGCATAGTAAGTTGAGATGATGTAAATTGAACTATAATCACACTCTGACAGATGGAGAGTGGGGTTCTGTCCCCGATATTTGCAGAGGCCCCTATGCATTTTTTCAGCATAGTAACCTCTCATCGCAGTTGACGGGATTCGAACCCGGGATCTAACCCTTTTGGCACTCTCTCGCTACCAGTTGAGCTACGTTGAACGGTCCATCTGAGTCAGATTATGCCGTGATGTCGATAGTATTCAGAGAAAAACTCATTGGTATCATACTCTATGTTTTGTATCACTAGTAATTGGCTATAAAAACAACCAGATTGATAAGAGTTGACCATTCAACATAGACTTGAAGTTCGATTGACCATTCGATACCATTTGGGAATCATTTGGGAAAACGCTTCAGAGTTTATTTAGCTCATGAGTCGTTTAGTGGATCGTTTTGAGATTAAACATTTAAATTGGAGATTTAAGTCTCAACATGTTGATCATGGTCGAGCGTTCAAAGGATCGTTTAGCACAATTTTTTACAATAATTTTTTCTCTAATTGGAATTTGAACGGTCATCTAATAATAATGAAAATAAAAACTTATAATCCATCTCAAAAATATGTACAAATACATTTTTTTAAATCACTAACTTTTGTCATTTCAATTTTCAACTGCAATATCATATCACAATGTTAAAACCTAGAGTTTCATCCTAAACGGTTAACCTGATAGGAGGAGCAACCAAAAGTTTACATACTCTGTAGTATTTTATTGTTTTATACTTTTTCGGTGTGAGGCAATACAGTAACACGCTCCTTCAGCCCAAACTGGGATGAACAATATCGGGGTGTATACTTGGGTCAAACAGACCATTAACAAAGCTACCCTACCTTAATCATGAGTGTTAAACAAGCAGTCAAACCACAACCGGACTTGGATCTGATCCATGTTAAGACCCGGGTTCCATCCTAAAAGGCTGGTCGACGTAATAGGAGAAGTAGCCCAAAGTGTTATATAGTACTCCGCATTTTATTGTTTTATAACTTTTCGGTGTGGAACAAATACATTAACACGATCCCCTCACTCCAAATCGGGCTAGACAATATCGGGGTGTATAAATGAGATAATAAATATAAGTGTCTAGCACAACCAATCATCTAATCCAAAATCAGTCTCGCCATACATATATGTTAATGTTTTAATTGCACTATATATATTATTGAAAAGGTCTTCTTATTAAAAACATGAATCAACGTTCGATTAAATATGAATATAACAACGTTCGATTACAAAAGAATTAAATAGGACCCCCACCATTTGTAAACATCAACCATTGTGATTTACGAAATATTAACGTCTACAAGATGTTAAGTATGGAAAAACAAATTCTCAAAATACATGAATCATACCAGAATTTTACATTAATTTAAATATTATATTGTATATTATTGCACTCCTTCCATCCCATATATTAAGGTTCTTGTTTCAATTCAGAATGTTCGACTTATAATTAAATTACCAGTTTTCTTGTAAAGCTTAAATTAGTAGGTCTTAAAATCATACTAAAAATCTATTGAAATGTAACAATTGATTAAAATGTGACATCTGAATTCAAATATCAACAAATTTATTTATTTGAAACTGTTATTAAAATTGGGTTACGTTGATCATAGAATTAATTAATTGGTGAATGTGAACCTTATTATTGGATGGAAGAAGTAATTTACAAGAAAGACATTTTTTAAAAAAATCAAAAAAATTGAAGGTGTGTACAATTACTCTATAAATAAACAGTGTTACGTTTCTAGCAACCTATGGATCAGCAGCGTCGGAAATCATGCGGAAAGCTCTCTGGACACATTCCTTGTACTTCTCAGGATCAATGAGACCCCTTTCTGTTCCCACCGCAATCCTTAGCATCCTCATATAGCTTAGAATTGTTATGGTAAGACTCTACATGCAACATCAAAACAATACTATAATTAAGGAGAAATGACATTTTTGGTCCAGTTATCATATTGAAATATCAGACTCGTGTTTCTCAGATTGTAAATGTCACCCTTGAAGTGGCAGATTTAATTTGTTGTAAATGACATCTCTACCGTTTATAATTCATCTCTAATTCTGGACTACCAATAAATTTACGAGAGATGACATTTACGACAAATGTATTATTTTGGGGGTGACATTTACAATTTTAGAAACATTGGTTTGACATTTCAATATGGTCAATAATTGAGAAATCGAAAGTGCGTTTTTCCCATATACTCCCTCCGTCCCGGTCATTTCTTCCAAGTTTGACTTGGCTCGCAAATTTATAAAGTGAGAATAAAGTGGAAATATATGGTTGCAGTTGCGTAAGAAAAAAATGAATGAATGTGAACCACATATTTTTTCCAAAAGTGGAAGTTAGAAGAATTAATTGGGATGACCCAAAAAGGAAAGTCGGAAGAAATGATCGGAACGGAGGGAGTATAAACTAATAATACTAGTAGTGATACGATAAAAAATTGAATATAGTACTTTCAAGCTCTATCTGAAATAAATAAATAGTAAACTTAATTAAATGTATATAATATGAGGAGTTTAATAATAGATTAATAGCTTAATAAATGAATGAAAATTTTCAATGCAAGGTGTATAATGCAATAAACTTTATTTTGTTTTTATTTTAATAATAAAAATTAAAGAAATGAAAATAGCTTTTAGGTCTTAGATTAATAGTTTTTAATTATTAGATCCCTATATTGATATTTTTCATGTTCCATGTTGTTGATTGATAGTTAACATATCTCTAAATTTTTGAGGTTTTAAATCGATAAAATTACTTAATTTAATCAATCATTAGTAGGGACTAAACTATGTGCTACAATGAAATGTCACTTTAAAAAGGGAATAGTCAAAATGAAAATCTTCACCATTTTATTACATACCATAGTTTTAAAGGACAAACTTCATGAGAAAAAATAGTTTTCATCAAGCCAGTGTCTGTTGATGGTCTCATATTATTTCCCTTTTCAGTATCCCAAATTAATCATATCATTTTCTTTTTGGGCAAACTTATAAATAAATTGTTCATTTTAACTGCGGGTACTTCAAACTTTTAAGTAATCTTTATACAAGAGCCATTGAGTAATCTTATTATACCTTTTAAAACTTTTTTGCGCCAAAAGTATGAGCTTATCATGGAGTATAACTTTAGATAATTAGATGCACAATCTTGTCAGTAATTAATTTAAGCACTTCCTCAGTTCCTTTAGATACAAATGTTTTCATGGCGAGAATCGGGCCGGGCCTGGACAAGTTTTGAAAGTCCATTTACAGATAAGTACTGAATCGGCCCAATTAAAATTACTACGAATATTACTGAGGGCCCATAATACCTGCGGAACGCCGACAACCATGAAATACACCCCCTTCATGGTTTGATTTGCCAAAGCCAGTTTCTGAATCGGCCCAATTAAATTTGATATTGTCATGCTCGAATTCTTCAGGGTGTTGTGCACGTATTTAGCCGTCGCCTAGTAACCCGTCATATAATTATTCGATTAGCAACTTCAAATATACTAAAAAATAAAAATAAATAGAAAGAGTTTATTAATAAATATAAGAGAGAAAGGATAAATAAGCTTTTCAACTATTAGCAATTCTACAATCACGTATATAGCAGCCCACACATGATTAACAGACATCATTTATAATATTGTACAATTCACGTATCATTTGTATTCACTTGATAAGCATTTTGTACAATTGGGTCTACTAGGCCCATATTAGCGGTCTGGTCCGCTCTTTCTGTATATGTACTTGTTTTGAAGCTTCTTGTAAACCCTAATCAACATTATACACAATCTCTTCCTTCTCTCTAGTTCTTATCTCTCTATAATTATATGTTTGATATCCCTATTATCAATCAAAAGCGTTCAAAGATCTTGCAAATACGCTCATCGATCTATTGAAATAAAGTAATTGAACCCTTTTGACATGTTGGTGTCAATAATTTGATAACACGGTTAATTTTCTCGTGAGAATTTACCAGCAACCGTGAGTAAAAAAACTATTGCTTTATTTCAAAAAATCAAGAGTGTATTACAACTCCTTCAATTGGATCTGTTCGAGAATCAGTAATAATTCAAGAGCTTATTTACTACTCTGTATTTTTTTAAATAAAAATACTCCGTAGTAATATTAATTTACCTCGGGGCCTTTGTGTTGACGCAAGGCGTCCAAGACTTTGCCGGTAAGTAAAATGGCGGCGGAATTTCTTTTGCGCTGGATGATTTCGCGCGCTTTGGAGACAAAAAGGACAGGATTGGAGGAGTTAGCGGGAGTCAAATCAGGAGCAGCCACGTGCATGAAAGCGAATCGGTTACCCCACTTTGAGTCCACGTCGGAATGGACCATTTCTTTGGTCGATCTGTAGCCGCCTATGTGGCGGGTGTTCAGAAGCACTAACGCCGTCGCATCCCCATTTTTCATTTCCTCATTTGTTGCTTCCATATATAACCGCGTTCCCAAGAATATCACTCCGCAAATGACGTCGTTTATTGTCTGTCCATATTTATTCAACCAAAAATATATTAATAAACCCTTTTTAATCACGCATTAGCAAAAAGAGATGAACAAATATCTTTATGCAAGAATAATGTATTACGGATTTACAAAGTACTACTGCCTATAAGGTTTAAAATTAAAAACAGGAAACCAAAAGAAACACCAGCTGGTCCACTTTATTCAATACTCCCTATGATGCCTTATTATAACTAGTACTTCGTACTCCCTTCTTGAAAATAAGTTCAGAGTCCGTTTGGAGACCTCTTTTTTCGGCTTATCAAGCTTATTAGCCAGCTTTTTCACCAAACACGTAACTTTTACTTTCGTGTGCTGAATTGTGTAATAAGCAGAAAAAGTAAGGTTGGAGTTACTTTTATGGCTGTATTGGGTGAAGTTAGTGCAGAGGACCATTTTAGCTATTTTTACATGTAATTTTTTCTTTAATTTATTAATAAAATAAATTTTTGAAATATTTTTTTCTTGAATCAACAGAATCAGCCAAAACAGCCACTTCAGCTAGAACTTCATAAATTTCAGCAGAATCAACCAAAACAGCCGATTTTCGTGCTACCAAACGAGCTCTCAGTGTTTGACTCCACAAGTTTTTAGGTAGAAAATACTACCTCCGTCCCTTAAAACTTTGCCAAGTTTGACCGACACGGAGAATAATAAAGTAAAAACTGAATGGTTGAGGTTTGTGCAGAGGAAAGAGAAATAACAAGAACCACTAAATAATTGATTAAAATAGAAACTGGCAAAGTTTTTTGGGACGTCCCAAAAAGGAAAGATGACAAACTTTTAAGGGACGGAGGGAGTATAAAATAAAGTTGGTTCTTCCAAAATGTCAGGGTAATGAACATCCCAAAAAGTAAAAGTAGGTGAAAATCTCAGCGGAAATGTTTGAGTCGTCGAAATGTTATATTAAGACATGAGCTACTCCTCCTATTAGGGTTGATCTTTTAGGATAGAACCATGTGTCTTTACAGTAGGACTTCTTTTCGGAATAGAGAGAGTATTTATCTAAGCACTCAATGTACGGAATATTTTCTACTTAAGCAGAATAGTTTTACTTGCTCCCTCCGTTCCTTAAGACTTTATCAAGTTTTACCGGCAAGGAGATTAATAAAGTAAAAATTGTGTGTTTGAGGTTTGTGTAGAGGAGAAAGAACTAACTGAAATCACAAATTATCTACTTAAAAGAGAAAATGACACAGTTAGTAAGATATCAAAAAAAGGTTAGCTGACAAAGTTTGAATGGACAGAGGGAGTACATTTTTTAATGAAATCAGTGGCGTAGTTCAACTAAAGAAGGTGTCAAGGAGGTCTCATATTCAATTGCAAGTAAAACTTGGACACCCCTGTCTCTACCAGTTTGTAATCAAAGCTAATTTCCCATCATTGGCTATTCTGAAACCCATGGTGAGATGTTGGTAGGGGAGGAGCTAGAAGGGGCCCAACCTAAATCTTGAGTTACCATAAATTTAAGATTTTTAATGAAAGAACTACTCCTTCCGTCCCTAAAAATGCTTCCCGGTTTGACTTGACACGCTTATTAAGAAAGTAGAATAAAGTGGAAATTTATGGTTGTGATTGTGTAAGAAAAATGTGAAATAAATATGAACCACATAAATTGTCCAAAAATGGTAAGTGGGAAGAATTTATTGAAACAAACCAAAAAGGAAAGTGAGAACGATTTTCAGAGACAAAGGGAAGTATTATTAATATATGCTCAAATGTAGGCTGCGGGCCCATTATATTTATAAAAGGTCCCTGGTCGGATCCAAATTGGTGACGGAGTGACAGCTTTTTATTACTCGAATAAATGAAAAGAGGTTTTCTTTGCTAAGAACCGTTTTCTATTTGTCTCGAATTGTGATGTGACCTGTTCCTTAAAAATTAATGATGCAGTGATATGTTGTAGAGCAGCTAAAATCTTTTATACTTACTTAGTTAGATAAGTTGATTAGTTGTAATTTTTTTTTGATAATTTACTTGTTTGGATGTAAGAGTTGATATGTATTTACTTGGACTAAAATTTGTTAGTCTGGTTTGGTCGGTTTAAGTCTCGTATAATCTGGTTATGTCTGAATTGGTCTGGTCTGATCCGGTAAATTTTTGGTCTCTGTGTTTTTTGTAACTATGAATTCTGGTCTGATCTAATTTGGTATGTTTAAATCTGGTCTGATCTGGTGTAGGACTAAATACAGTCACAACACAACTATTTAAAGTGTTGCTATTTCAACAATATCGTCCAAAAACCCTTTAAGGCCAATTAGATAATTGCTAAATATTGTTTTCACCTATTGAAAATGTTCAAAACCTTCAAATCACATTTTTTTTTGTCAGAACGCTAATTTCCAAACACCCCTTCGTATACATGTTTATGATATACTCCGTAACAAATACTAGTACCATGTATTATTATTATACTCCCTCCGTTCCTAAATAAACTTCCAATTTTCCTTTTTCGTCTGTTCCAATTAAATTTCCACTTTCCCTTTTTGGTAAAGAATTTGTGGTTCACAACATTTCCTACACATTTTTTTCTCCTCTGCACAACTCTCCACCACACAATACACATTTTTCTTAAATTGTGTGTCAAAGTGGGTTGAAAGATAAAGTAGGAACGGACGTAGTAACAAATAGTACGGGGAGAAAACAATGTTTAATTCAGCTTATTATTGTTGTTGTTATAATTCAGTTTACAATAAAATTCTTAATTTAGAGGATCACATATGACGTATAATGAATAAATTTGAAATGAAGTCATGAACAACAAATTACATACTCCCTCCGTCCCCTTTTAAATCCGTCCCCTTTTAAATGTCTCGGAAGAGGGTGGCACGAGTTTTAAGAAAAGTAGGTTTGTGTGGTTGATATTAATAGATAAAGTAAGAATAAATAAGAATAAAGTAAGAATGATTTTGAGCCACACAAATTTTACCAAATAAGGTATGAGACAATTAAATAGGGACATCCCAATATGGTAAAATGGGACATTTAAAAGGGAACGGAGGGAGTAGTACAAAGTATTAATTTTCGGAAGATTTATTGGTTTACTCCCGAGTTATATATAGGAGGAATACAGTTATAGTACCTCCGTCCCTTAAAACTTTGTTAACTTTCCTTTTTAGATGTCCCATTAACTTTGCCATTTTCCCTTTTAAATAAAGAATTTGTGATTCATGTTAATTCTATCTCCTCTGCACAAACCTCAACCACACAATTTTTACTTTATTAATCTCCGTACCGATCAAACTTGGTAAATTTTTAAGGGACGGAGGGAGTATGAATAAGTGTTTTCGATTTGACACCTTACACGGTTGCACCGATTTGGGAATTGGGAGTAGTGTACTATTCCCGCCTATAAAGCGTAACGGTAAAGCCGATATTGGTAAGTAATTTTCCGTGGAAAAGTATTAAACTCGAAAAGTTGATAACTTGTTAGAAAATGCTTATATGGGATGTAAAATATATACAAAGTTCATATGCATAAATATCACTATTTTTTCTAGAATATGATTCACTCATAATATGAGAATAAAATATATGTAATCCTACTTTTGCATTTTGTTTAAGTTTTAATCCTATTGAAAACAATTTGGGAAAGTTCCCGAAATAGGACTAAAATAGTTTCAAAATTCCAAAATAGGACTGTCATGTTTTTTATTCCCAAAATAGGACTAATTACTGTCATGTTTAGAAAACACTGCCATGTTTGAAGTCTGGTACTGCCAAAACATGGTAGTAATTAGTTCTATTTTGGGAATAAAAACGTGGTAGTCCTATTTTGGAATTTTCAAACTGTTTTAGTCCTATTATGGGTAATATCTCAAACAATTTCTATAAACTTATTAGTTTCATTATACATCCTCAACCCTTAAGACTTTTCAAATTTAGTTTTTTGATTTTTTCACTAACTTTGATATTTTCCTTTTATAGCATAGAATTTCTAGTTCTAGTTAATTCTCTCTCTTTTGCACAAATCTTAACCAGAAAATTTTTATTTTATTAGTTTTCGTATCAATCAAACTTGACAAAATTTTAAGGGATGAAGGGAGTACTTCGTATGAATTAGAATAAATAAGATTAGAGATATAATGACTTCGAACAAATCTGCCATTTTCTCACACCATATACTCCGCAAAAAAGATGGGATATTTAGTAAGCATTACTTACCACACCAAGTTTGGTCTTGATTTGCTTGAGCTGATCAATTGAAAATGTAATTGTAGTAATATCGATGGGCCGGAACTCGACCCCGGGGTCGCCTGACCGGATCGGGGTCCGGTCATCCGCAAGAAAGCTACTCTTCATTAAACTCCAACCGAAATCCGATATGGTGTTGAAAGTGGCAGAGAGTATACTGGGCACAGCCTTACAGAGCCCCTTTTTGTCATTTCCCAGGGTGGGCTCCTTGAATGCAGGGAAGGTTAAGGGGAGGGAAGGATCATCTGCCCTTTGGAGGCAAGAGAGGAGAGCTCCCATTAAAGAGAAGCCATCTCCAAGTGCATGGTGAAGCTTGAAGATCACATTTCCAGCTGCATTGCTTGTAGGGTATTTGACAATGTGAATTTCCCATAATGGCCTGCTCTGGGGAAGTGACTCTGCTGCAATCTTGGACAAGTAATCTTTGAAGCAATCATCGTACAATGATGAATTATTCGATTTCGATTCTGGGAAAACAGGCACTTTTATGTGATCTTTTGGTCTTACTTCCACTTTCTTCCATTGTTTATCGCCATTCTCATCTATAATCTGTTTTAATACATAAAAATTTCATAAAGACAGAGTTTAGAATCTAACAAAGTAGCGCAAGTATTTTTTTAGAATCTAAATTGTTGATTACTTAATACGAAAATTCTTCCCGGTTTGACTTGGCACGCTTATTAAGAAAGTGGAATAAAGTGTAAATGTATGATTGTGATTGTGTAAGAAAAAGGTAAAATGAATGTGAGCCACACAAATTGTCCAAAATGGAAAAGTGGGAAGTATTTTTGGGAACAGCCCAAAAAGGAAAGTGGGAAGTATTTTTGGGAACGGAGGGAGTACTCTGTAACAAATTGTCAGTAAAAACGATTGAGAATTTTAAAATAAGAGCGTTGTGTTATTATTTTCTAAATAAGATTAGTTATTGTAAACTTTGAATTTACAATATTGCTATGTTTAAATTTTGATATTGTCTAAGCATGACAAGTAAATTTTTAAGATGATAGTAATATGGTACACCTATTTAAGAGAGAAATTTATGTGTCCTACACTAAATTTCTAAAAGCTTATACTCCATTTTTACTTACTTCATTATTCTTGTAGATTAAGGATTTGTTTGGCATAACTAGTTGATTTTTTTTTAACTTTTAGTAACAATAAGCTTTTAGTGATTGAAAATATTTTAATAGAAAAAAGTTGCAGTTGTTTGATAAAAAGATGATTGTTTGATTTAATTCTGTTTGGTATAACTTCTAGTTTAAAAAGTGTAGCTTTTGTACTATTTAAAAAGTCTCTAAAAACTTATAGTTATATGTTTAGCTGACAATTTTTAAGAGTTTTTCTCGAAATAAAAGATCTTCTTTGAGATGCTACAACATGTAGCATTTAGGAGAAAGTCTGTATGATTTAGCATTAATTAGTTACAACAGCTTGTTACTCCAAACATAACTAAATCAAACAGTCAGATTTTTATCAAATATTACAACCTTTTAAGTTCTTTTTCGTAACTAAAAGTTAACAATTAGTAAAATTTTCATAAAAAATATCTTTTCAGCTACTTGCGCCAAACATACTCTTCCTGTTATAGTTTGAAAAAAAATATTTTGAGAAAAACTCTTAAAAATTGTTAGGATGTTTTTACTTGGACTGTAATTTGCTGGTCTGGTCCGGTCTGGTCTAGTCTGGTCCGGTTTCTTTGTATTTTTATAACTATCTAAGTCTGGTCTGGTCTGGTCTGAACTGGTCTGGTCTGAACTGGTCTGAACTGGTCTGGTCTGATCTGGTCTGATCTGGTCTGGGACGAATTACAGTCCAAGTAAAAACATCCTTATGCCAAATATTCAATTATAATTTTCTAGAGACTTTTTAATTAACATAAAAACTAGAAGGTATGAGCTTATATCAGTTATATGCCTATCAAACATGCTTTAAGATATTTTTGAACAACTAACCGTCAAAGCTAATATAATTTGATTGAAAAAGTCAAAACACCAACTTTATTTATACCTCGGATGTCCACGTTACGTCATTAATTAATGGTCTCTAAAATTAGTAAAATATACTCCATATTTAAATGAATCTTATTTGTAATGAGAATTATTGTCATCGATGTATTTTTTCCTATAAAATATATAATCATACATACATCTAATTATGCGACTTTCTTCCCTTAAAATTCATACATTACATGCATCATATACGAATCGACTTTCTTGGCCCATACAAGTAAACTTTGTCCTTCAACTTGATTAATACTCTGGTATTTTTGTGTAAAAATTATACTTTTATATTATAGAGTAATAGGGAGTAACATTTTCGTATCATTTTTATGTTGTACAACGTATTCCGTTATAGATTTGAATACAAATATATCTTGTTGGTTAAAGTTTAATATCATGAATCAAGAAAGTAAATATTGCTAAATTTGAAGCGATGGAGGGAGTATAAAAAGTTTGGGAGAATAATAAAAAACTAAAATAAAAATAGAAGAAAAGTAGAAAAGAAATAGACCTCAAAAGTAAAATAGGATGGAAATACCGTGAGAATGTTTCTCCCTAACCATATTATAGGCACTGATTTATCTTGCTTTTATTGCAAACCTAACACACTTCGATATTTGAAGGCATATAACGAAAGTTAGGAAACAAATGGAAACTAAATTTACTTTTTTAGTATTCGAAATTTTAATTTTAGCGGCAAATTTTAAAGATAGTGATAATCTAAAGAGTTGTACGTTTATTCGACGTTACATTTATACACGACATAAACTCGCTTCCCTTTTGGAAAGGGTTAATTGCGCCTAACCCCCTTATTAATTAAATATAAATTCGACGCATTATCTCTTTATGATTTAAAAAATGCGTCAATCTCTCTTGTGTTTTAATTAATCATGCGCAAAACTTCCTTCAAGAACAAATTTTACAATTTTGAAATCACTTTCGGCTGTTATCGTTTTTGGTCCTATAACTTTAAGCATTTACAAATTTGGTCCTGTAACTAATAAATCTTTGTAATTTAAGGACTTCCCCACCGGAAAGTACACTTTCCGGCGGAAAAGTCCAACGCCGGCGACATCTTTTCCGGTATGCTATTGCCGGAAAGTGTACTTTTCAGGGAAAAGTCCTTAAATCGCAAATATTAATTAGTTAGAGGACTGAATTTGCAAGTAACTAAAGTTACGGAACTAATAATGATAACGGCCGAAAGTTACGGGATAAATATTGCAAATTTCCCTATGGTTGAATATACAAGTAACTTTGTCAAAATTTCCAAATTATACAAAAAAAGTAATCATTTTTCACTTTTAGGAAATTAAATTTGTTCTTAGAGGGGGTTTGGCACATGATTAACAATAACACATGGGGGTTTGACGCATTTTTTAAATCACAGGAAGCTAATGCGCCAAATTTATATTTCACGAAGTGGTTTGGTGCATTAAAGTGATTAAACCCTTTATGAAGATGATGAAGAAAAAGATATTCAATTTTATTTTTGTTTTCTCATTTTACCTCAATTTCCGAACAAGGATTCATTAACACATTTCCACAAATTTAGCAAATATCAACCCGACAATTATTTCATTCCGCCATTTCAATCAAATTTTACTCAACTAAGACACATTAAATAACTTCATCACTTTATTCTTGAGTAACATAATTAATTAATGAATGAAAGACCAGTCCACGAAATCTCAAACAAAAGTCACCCTCTTTGCTATTCTTATCTGGCAAGCATATTAGACCACATAATCAGGGAGTAGCCAGGGGCTAGAGGGAAAAAAGTATAACCAGTTATAGACACCGAAAAATACAGTGAAATTTTCAGTTTTGACCCGTAACAAATATTCTTTTAAGTCTCGTCTCTCGTAAGTCGTAACCTGTCATTTCTTGCTCCGCAAATAGCTCATAAAAAGATGTACCAGTGGTAGTTACCAAAAGTCTATAAGTAGCTTGAAAAGTAACTTGATGGGTTAATTAGTGCGTACCATGATGGAAGAAAACCTGGGATTAATGGGCAGAAAAACATCATTAATCAGAGGAATCGTGAGAGAATCATCAATAGGATCTTCGAATTCCAGAACAGCAATAACGCAGATGGAAAGAACAGAGCTGTTGAAGTACTGGCCGGTCGGGCTGACAGGGAAGAAGGACTCTTCATCTTCTTCCTCTTGCAAATTGGTGAATTCCATCTAATCAATCTTTGGGTATATCGATATATAATCAATCAAATAGTTATATCAAGTAAGAATACAAAAATATCGATCGAGTGAAGAATATATTGATGAAGTTTCAAGGCTGTGTAGAGCCAGAGGATTGAGTTAGTTCCACTTAAATATGGGTGGTGGTTAAGTCCATATTTATTGCTTCCAGCAAATAGCAATAAAGTATAGCCCCCCATTCTTTCCTGCATTTACCTGAAGACATTGAAAAGATGAAAAATTAGCTGTACTCTTGAAAAGCTTGGATATGGGAGTGAGGGAATGTAGACCTTTGTAGCTTTCCCACTTAGGGGAGTACAGTTATAAATGTAATTACACTTTTGATAAAGGGAAATGATGCTAAATAGGAGCTTAATTTTCTGTATGTAATTAAATAAGAGTTTGACTTTTTTAACTTCTAAATAAGATTACTTTTAGATTTTATTCCTTTTTTGTCCTTGTTTTAATTAATTGAAGTACATACTCCGTATGTTTTAGAGAAACCGTCGACTTACGCCTTCAACATTTTTTCTGGGTATCAGTGATGTCGTTGCCTCCGCAATCCTCGACGTCGGAGACGTCGAGTTCAAAGCTAACACGAACATTGCCACCGGCCCATCCCTTGACGACCTCTCCGTCTTCGTAGAAGAGTTTTCCGGAAAAGGATGTGCGATTTCAGTTTATGAATCCGGCTATGGTTTTAGAGATGGAGCTGAGTTTGACGTACTCGCACTGGCAGGGCGATAATCGATGATGGGGTAGATGTTGGACGATTGAATGACTGTAGCTTTGAGAATCCTGATTGTGGATTGGTGAGGAGCTTGCCTAATGGAAATGGTTCTACAGGCAGAAAGAGGAAAGGAACAACAGACATACTCGGTAGAAGGTCTGAAATGCTTGCTGCTTCTGAGATTGATTGGCCTGCAGATTGTTGGACGCGGAAAGTGGATGGCCTTTCATAGGCCGGCACCCTGGAAGCTCTGAATTGGGATAGAACAATTTTGGATATTTGGACTTTGTTTTTGTTTTGGGTAGGTCTAGGACTTTGTTTGGATATTGGGATTAATATTTGGACATTAATGTGATATTGTAATTTCCAATTTTAATTTGTATCCTAAGTGCGTTGTTTCTACATACAACAAGTGTTACTCCATGTTTTGTTTTGTTTTTTTGAGAGAAGAAGAGTGTTATGTTTTATTCTATGTTTACTTCGTATGTTATGACATTGTTATAAATGTTCGGTTCCACTTTCATTGTTATTCTTATGACATTGTTATTGACATTTTTATGACATTGTCATTGACATTCTTATTACATTGTCATTGACATTCTTATGACATTGTCATTGGCATTGTTTTCTATTGACATTCTTATGACTTCGTCATTGATATTCTTATGATATTGTCATTGACATTCATATGACATTGTCACTGACATTGTTTTTTATTGACATTCTTATGACATTGTCATTGACATTCTTATGACATTGTCATTGACATTGTTTTCTATTGACATTCTTATGACTTCGTCATTGACATTCTTATGACATTGTCATTGACATTCATATGACATTGTTTTTTATTGACATTCTTATGACATTCTTATGACATTGTTATTATTACAATTTCATTATTTAATGTGTCACATTTTTTTGACACTGTACCATTATTCTATATTTTGGGAATGATATTTCATGATAGTCGTTGATATTGTCATTATCTGTAGCATTGACATTGCTAGTCATTAGTCAAAATAGAAATTCAAAACACAAAATAAACGGGAAAGCAAAATCAAGATTGAAAAAGAGAAGAAAGCAAGAAAAGAAGTTGATAGAAACAGAGCTGCAACGAGGGAAGAAAATTGAAGTCAAAATCAAATCAATAAAATTGATTGGAATTAAGCCGCACCTTCACGCTGCAAATAAACAAATGTTTGTCGAATTGCCGCTGCAGCAACAAAAAACATTTGGCAAGTTCCATTCTCGACTTTTCGGGAGCATCTCCAGCCCCATCTGCGACGGAAAATCCCTAAGTGAGGAGACGTACTGGCCGCCGGTGCTAGACTATTTAGTGTAGAGAGCAGATATTAATCTGAGCTTTGATGAATGAGTCTTTGATATTAATTTCGACCAATGAGTCTTTGAAATTGATGAAGAAAATCGATTGGAGCTTTTTGTTGAAGATTATCCGAGCTTCGACAACCATTGGAATGGGCTGAAGACGGCTGAAGCTCTCGGTGTTCTGCGAAGTCGGTGGATCACGATTGAGTGAGAGGGTTGGGGTTATTTTTGTCCGTCCAGATGCAAATAAGTCCTATTTAGGGTTAAAATAGTAGGAGGTCTTATCCGTATACCAAGCCCATGTTTTACTCCTATTGGAGTCTTTTTCGGATCCCTTTGATAAATTAAAGCTAGATTTTATGGTACTAATAAGTATCGTATCTTTGTTCACATGAACCAATCAAAATACTGTAGTTGAATTAATTAAATGAAAATTAAAAGTGATATAATGGTTCGACCAATAAAGAGTATAGGTATGGTACCCCATTTTTAAACGTGTGTCGGAGTTGATACCTTAATTAAATACGTGAAAGAATGAATTTGAGTTGAAGCATAAGATGATTTTACTTTAGTGGAATACATTGTCCATAACATAACTACGTTACTCTGCTACAAATTGAACTTGTTGTAAAGTAATGATATAGATATTCATATTACTGAAAGTTTATTGGTATGAATGTTGCAATGTAAAATTAAAAAATATGGGAAAATAATTGAGTGATTTACCTTTTTTTAAAGAAACATATATATGTGGGTAACTCTATCCAACCCTTCACTTACTATGGCAGCAAATTTTATTTGTACTAGTTGTAATTAAAAAAGGAAATTGCTCAGGATTAAAATATGGACAAAATTCTAAATTAGGATTTAATGTATGTTTTTTGAAATGAGATTTAGGGGGTGTTTGGAACTGATTCTGATTCTGCTTCTTTTTTAAAGCAGAAACAGAATCAAAATCAGTTTTCAAAAGCTGGTCACCCCCCGCTTCTAAAAAAAACTGATTCTATGAGTAAATTAGAGCACCAGAATCACTTCTGCACTTTTACCCAAACATTCCTACTTCTGCTTCTGCTCCCTGAAGGAGCAGAAGCAGTTTTAAGAATTAAATCCAAACACCCCTTATTTACTCCTACTAAAAGAACAAAGCAATAAAAACTTTTCAAAATAAGAGTGAATGAATCATATGTAAAGAAGAAAGCAATAATAGTTCTATTTGAGAAATTATGTTTATTTTTCTCAATAACCACATGTTTGACATACTTTTGGAAATAGATTATTTTAACGATTCATATGCAATTTATTTTGCATAGCAACCTTTTTCATTGCATTGCACAGATATAACAAGGATTTGCTAGTTCCAAATTCATTATAAAACCATCCGTGACAAAAATTCGTGACAAACAGTTGTTTTTTTTTGCAGTGGGTGTGCAAGCTAGTATCAACCACTGGCCAAGCAATCTCTCAACTATGTCTCTGTTGTTCCTAAGGTAACTCAAGCAGTTGCTCCAACTGCTTCTTGTTTGTGAGGTTCAATAAGGCTGTCTAATTAAGTTGGTGCTGAGAAGGGATACAGAGTTCACGAGTATCTTTGTGTGTCTTTGGTACATAAAAACTTGATAAAAACTTGCTTATATATGCTTTCTTGTGAGTATGTTGTCTTGTAGTTTAGCATTGTTATAATTTTATTCAAGATTGACCTTGTTTTGCTCAATAAGCAAGTTTATATCCTTTTGTTCTTGAACTTATTTGTTGTCCTTATTTTCTTTTTTTATTCGATCCTTTAGTTCTGATCGATAATGGATCAAATCATTAGTTTAAGAAAGTGGGAATACAGTAGAAATGTACAGCTGTAGTTGAGTAAGAAAAAAGTAAATGAATGGTAGCCGCACAAAACTTTCAAAAAAGAGAAATGAGAACTATTTTTTGGAACAACTCAAAAAGGAAAGTGAGAACTATTTTATAGGACGGGATGAAGTAGTTTATACTTTTCAACAAGACAACAACTTTTAGATAAAAAGTTAAACTTTGAATTTGTCATTCTAACCAAATTCTTATAATGGATTTATTAGTATAAATGCAATAAGCAAATTTTCGTATGCAATAAAAAAAAGATTGGTTATGACAACTAATTTATTCTATTTCTAAAATACGAGTCTTACTCAGTTTTTAAAAGGATTTGCATGAATGATTTCAGTGATGTTTGAGATAGAGCTTTTAATTTATCTCAAATTACAGTTTTATTTTGAATGTGTAGACCTTCGTGTAGGTGAAATGAGTCAATAATTTTTGCTATATACGAGTACAATAGAGTGTTTTTGAGTTTTGACTGTGTATACCTTCAGTAAAATTGTGTCAAGTCTATACCAACAGGAAATGTAATTACTTTATGTTGATATAGCGAATTATGAAATGACATTTGATCCGAAGGTTTTGAGAAAATTTTGTGAGCGCTTATGAAGTTTAGATTATTTCCATCAAATTTCATCTTAATATTCAATAAGAAAGTTAGTTAAATGAATTATTGAAAACCACATCCCCGATACATATACTACATACATATAGGGAAGAGTTCAAATACAAAGAGACTTTCCGTGCAAATTGAGAATATATCTTATGCCTTCAATTCAGGATTGAATGGCTCAAAAGAAGCCAATAATTCACTAAATTTGATAAAACCGCCTGTTTTTTTGTAGTGCATTAATGCACTAAATTTGATCAAAAATGTGGTGACAAATTTGTAAATAAACCAAAGTTTTTTGTTATCGCGAAAATGCACAACAGAATGATGAAATGTATTGTTCATCTCATACTATGCACGTGAACACTAGTCGTTACTACGTATTTGAACTCTTCCTTATGTATATATGATAGCAATGATTTTGTTTTGAAATTAAACTTAAATAGATGGAATCAAACCATATTAAAAAACATGTCAAAATATGCTTGCCAGATACCAATAGCAAAGAGGGGTGACTTTGGTTTGAGATTTCGTGGAGCTAGTCATCAACACCGTGATTAGAAAGATTTATGGAAATTTAATTAATGAGTAGGGAGAAAATTAACCCCATTATAATTAACTTGAGAGGAGATGTGAGATGTACATTAAATTGAGTACAAATTAAATACAGCTCACCACGCTGAAGAAAGACCGACCCATTGAAAAATTGTCTAAAATTCATATCGTAGAAGCTCTACGGGATAGTAGTGGAGAACAACTAACTCACCGACTTAATTCTTAAACTATCGTTATTATTGTTTAAAATCTAAACATTAATTAAAAAGTTGTTTACCCAAAATAGAAATCACTCAACGGCACATTAAAAAACCACAAAAACGTGATGCATTTTCGAGCAGTTACACTATACTCCCTCCGTTTCTGTCTTTCTGAAATAAGTTACACCTTTCCTTTTCGGATAGTTCCAAAATAAAGTTCCAATTTATATATTTGGAAAGTTTTTCCAATCCATTTACTATTTTACCCCCATATCCCTTTTCCATATTTTACCCATTTACTACTCCCTATTTTCTACCCCCTACGCACCTCACATCCATCTCTCCTTTGTGAGCGTCTCTCTCCCCCTTCTGCAACCCTTCATTCCCCCGCCTCCACCCTCCTCCATCGCCACCGTTCCTAAACCCCTTCCGTCGTTACCCCCTGCAGCTCCCCCTACGCTACCCCTCAAAACTCCTTCCATCGCAACCCCTCTCTGAAACCCTTCTTCTCTGAAACCCATCTATCGCTAAATCTGAAACCCACCGGCCTCTATCACTTCCCCGGTGCATGGATCCATCTCACCCGAAATCGTCTCCACCTTTACATGGACTTGACAACCCCTCATCTCCAAAGCCAGATCCGCAAGTTTCGTCCCTTATTTCAGAATTTTGTGTTATGCGGTTTGGAAGTCAGGATTCGTCTGAATCTGATCCCGACTAGTGGATCCAGAAGAAATATGGTTCAAATCTTGTTTCTGATACCTACGATGGATTACAAGGTTTCGAGGATTCCGAAGGAGAAGAGGTCAATTCGGGAGTGGTGATGGATGGACTGTCGGACAAGGAAAAGGAAGGCAACGTGGGGCTGCATGCAGAGGATGGCAGCGATGGCGAGGAAGAAGAGGAAGGCAGGAAGGGGCTAGATTCAGACGACAAGAATGAAGGAAAAGGGTAGTACTCATCTTAAACCCTTTTTCATTTTAGCGCACTGATTTTGTGTGATGTATGTGTTGCCCGTATATGTGTGATGTCAGTGCATATGTGTTGTAATGTGAAATGTGATGCCAATGCATATGTGTAGTAACCTGAAATGTGTGTTGATGATATGGTGAACCCCATTTCGAACTGATGATGATAGGGGCCTTATTGTGTTGCTTTATGGTAGATTCCAATCTTGCATTTGACTTGCATACATTAACAAAAATCACCATTTTCTTACATTTGGGCAAAAATTAAACTGGTGTACACTATGTTGGTCAATACATATTGCATTGTATTGTCTGCCAACTACTATGTGCTTACAAAAATGTGCACTACTTAAGTCAGTGATGGTTTTTGGAGCTTTCTGATCTTTAATGGCATCTATTGTCCTGAAAAATCCCAAGTCCAAGACATTAAGGTCTGGACTATTAGGTGGTTGACATGTCGATTGGATATTCCATCCATCCTTAGTCCCTTCTCTCACAAAATCAGGATCATTAATGTCAATATGAGGCCTTGCATTGTCCTGTTGAATAATAACTCTCCTGTTGTCTGCATCTGGCCATGTCTGTTTTATTGCTGGCAATAGTTCATTCAGTATCATCTCTTTGATGACTAAACGTGTAATGCTTACTGATGCCTTTGTCTCTAGTGTTCCTGCTGGTCTGTTTTTACTGCTTCTTTTGGCTGTGTCTTCATAAGTGAAAGGAAAGATCCTCACTTTCCCATCCCACAATACTTCCCCATTGTCCCTTAGTCTTGGTCTCCCCACAGCTGCTAAGAACATGATTTTTGGTATGAATTTTTTTGACTGAGCAGTCCTGTAGGGGTCCTCTTCAGTGGGAGTGGTGTAGAAAGTGGTGGTTTCTTTGGACAAATAAAACCACTTCTCATCTATGTGCATGGTATCATAGAAAGTGTGTGTAAACTTTGTAATTGGGAGGGAAAATTAAAATTTGGGAGGGAAATTTTGATTGTATGGCCGAAATACATGTATGGTGTTTAGAAATGGGATTAGACTTGTAATGATTTCTTTTTTGGAATAGATGTTATTTACCCCCCTTCCACTATTCATTCCCCCTTTTTCTTCTTTCATATGGCCGTGTATCTCATTAAGGGCAAAAGTGGAAAGTCAACAAATAATTTACTCTTCCCTTAAATCCAAAGAAGTCAAATGTGGAACTTCTTCAAGAATCGGAGGGAGTAAAAAACACGGGATTGACAGGGATTTGACAGGGATTTTAGCATGAAAATGCTAAATTCGTGCTAAAAACACTTTGTCACGAGCTATTTGACACGAAAAATCGGTAAGTCCATATCAATTTACGTGTCAATTCCGTAATTTTTTTGTAGTGTTATATACCTAAAAATTTTATAGAATCGTCTTATCATAGTCATTCACTTTTAAAGAAAATGAACTCTCAGCTCAAAAGCAAGTGGCTATGAGGAAACCACACACCAACATGTCTCTAATTTCTTAATTATTATTATTATATCCGATCCTAAAGAGTATGCCTTTAAGGAAAACATACTCCGTATTCTGTTGCGGTGCAACCGTGCAAAGGTCCCACCCAAACCATAATATTGACGAAACTAGAATGTTTTTAATTTGATTTATTTCAGTCTCATTATATTTTAGACCGAATCAGATTAGATCTGATTTAAATAGATCAGATCAGACTTTGATATTTTTAAAATACACAAAGATCAGATATCTACCAGTCCAACTCGGGTCAAACTAGACTTAAACAGGTAAGATCAAACCAGATCAGAAAATTTCAATCCAAATGAAAAACTTGAATAGTCAAACAGCTAATTTATGTCGGAGTAGCCAAAGTTTATCTGATCAGCCGATTGCCAAAGGCAACCATATTATATCATCCATTATTGAAAGTTGAAACAAATCATAATCCTCTCTGATCTAATGCATTAAACACGCATATTTGGCTGCAATTGAAATAGTGAATGAATTGACGTATATCTTATTATCCTTTATATTTCCTCCGTCCAACTCAATTTTGCTAAATCTTACGTTGTTGGATGGGAAATTAGAATAATAAATACTGTGTAATTATGATTTATGCATAGGATAGAGAGAAACGAACACTGTCACAAATTCATTCATTTCTTAAAAATGAAAGTGAAATTTTTTTTTGAGACAAACAAAATTGACAATTTCCAGTGAAATGGAGTGAGTATTATTTAGCCTTTTAAAAACACACTTGCCGAATGCACAATAATGAGATAATAATTCACGGGGAGAGTAAAAATTAGTCAATAATTATCACTACAAAAAAATACGGGATTGACACGGAATTTGGCACGGACTTACCGATTTTTCGTGCCAAATAGCACGTGCCAAAGTGTTTTTGACACGGAATTGGCATATCCTTGCCAAAATCTCTGCCAAATCTCTGCCAAAATCTCTGCTAATCTCGTGTTAGTAGGAAATACTTCAATAATACGGATTACGGAGTCATTTGTTGCAAAAAAACAGCTTTAAATAGAGTGAGCAAGAATGAAGGCATTAAATGCTGTTGCGTTAGAAGTTAGAAGGCAAACACTTGTAATTAACAGTAGTTCAATTAAATTGGGTGCGGCATTATTTGATTAGTATGGATGGTATGAAAGTGACAATCCAATAATTCGATTATCAAAATAAATGCGTGCGCCATTCTTCATCTCTAATCTAGTTTGTGCGATCAGTGGCGGACCCAGAAAGTCAGAGTCACGAGATCCCTACCTTTTTATATCTTTAATCTTTAATTAATACTATTATAAAACTAATAAAAAAAATATTAAAGAAGCATAAAAACATAATTAGTTTAACAATTTAAAGAATGAGCTTTAACAATTTAGTAAGATTATAAGAACATAATTAGTGAATAAGAACATAATCGATTAAAGCTCATTTAAAGAATGAGCTTTAACAATTTAGTAAGATTATAAAACCATTTAAATTAGTTTGAGTGGTGTGATAAAAACATGTGAAAAGAAATTCTTTGAAAGTGAGTTTATTAACCAAATACTAGAATTCAAATGTGAAGAGAAAAAGAAAATGATGAGTAAAGATTTTCATATTAAAGCCATTAAATGTCTTGGAATAGAAAAGTCAATTACATAAGTGACTTTTCAAACACCTTAATTATGAGCATAAAAGTCAAATAAAATAGTTGAACAATTTTTATTGTTATTAACATAACAAATCTATAAATAAGCATCCAACATTATAATTAGCATATATTCTCTATTACATACATAAAATCAAAAAGGGAGAATGAACACAAAAAATATAGAAATAATATCTATAATCCATCAAACCCAAAATCATGTTAACAAAAAGGGAAAATGAACACAAGAAATCATGGATATGAATGCAAAAAACATTGAAGCATTTCAACAAACACCTTGTGAGCATAAGTGATAGAATAGTTGAATTATAATTAAAATTATAAACATCACTAGTCCATCACAATACAATAATGTAATCAAACAATAAACATTCCAACATGTATTCTATGCTTAAAACCGAAAAGAAAAAATATAAACAAATTTAAATCTAAATGCACAAGAAGGGGACAAACCTCAAATAAAGGTAGCACTACTAAAAAACCTCGGTATATGCACGGATTTTGGCTCGGATAACACCTTAAAATTCCTAGACTATCGCTCTTGGCTCAGTTTTGGCTCGGAAAACAAATACGTGCCACCTGGGTCGATCCAAACGTGTTGGCACAGAATATAGGATCCGTGTCAACAATTGGCACGACCTTTGTCTAGAACTTCGCGTCCCAAACTTAGCATCCAAATTCATCACAATTTAGCACGAATATCCTTTGTATCGGCATTTGCCTTGGATAGTAAGAACCCAACCGATTCAGTTTATATCGGTTCATGGATCGAATAAATCCGTGCCAAATAGTGTATCAGTTATAAAAAAACGTATACTGTACTTTTGTACGGTATACGTTTTTTAATACATTTTTTATACGTTTTAATTTTTTTTTGACAAAAATGAAATGTTTTTACCATACATAACAATTCACAATTCACATATTCAACACCACATACATGCACAATAATCACAATTCACAACCACAAGCATAACATAAACTGTAATAAGCATAACATTAATAAGCAGTTGAAAGAAAAAATTGTAAAACTGTAAGCAGTCCAAGCAAATGGCTAAAAAGACATTAGAAGCAGTTACAATAAAATAAAATTGTTCATAGTTTGGGAGTTCAATTAATAGCATTAAAAATAATAAAATATCATCCATGGGCACTTCATGAGAGTCGTTCAAAACGCTGTTAATTCCGTGAGGGGTCGGTGTTCGGAAAGCTGAGAACTCGGGCAGCGGGACACTCGGGTTGACGCTCCGCACCTGCTCCAAATACGACATGAACGTACTCGTCATGTTAGCCATCTGGGTTTGCAAAATCTGCTGCTGCTGGGCAAATAAGGCGTCAACCTGCTCCTGAATGCGGGCATCAATTTCTTCTTGGCTCGGCCTCGTGATTCGGCTTGTGCAATCTAGGCTGCTCGACAGCCCCTCTGCCTCAGAACCCGTCCCAAACCGCCGCGCCTTGTACTCCGGCACCGCCTTGCAAAACAACTCTGAATCATCAACGTCAAAGGACTTCCCCTCAGATTCTGCTTGGGCCTTCAGCTCATTGTACTTTTTCTGCAAAATATTACAAACAATTATATTTAGCAAGTAAAATGACAACTATGACAAATATTACTACTCATGTATATATAATTAACATACCCTCGTTTCAACAACTCTTGGAGGAGGATCACTAGCCTTGGGCACATACACCTTCTCAAAAACCTCAATCGTTAAAGGCTTTCTCTTCATAGATTCAGTTTGTAATCACAACAAGAATCTTATGTTAATGAATTGTTAGTACAATTGAAATAACACAAAAAATATAAACGTTTAGGAACTTTAATTACCATTCTTTGAACATGTGTGGTCACCGGAATATGACCTCCACGATATTGCGAACCTCTTGTTGCCTCAGTGCTACAGTTTTTTTTCCCTGCTTCACTCTTCTTCTTAAATTTTTCAGAACCCCAATACTCCTTAAGAACATCCCAATGCTCCTTTGAAATCCACTCTGGCTTCTCATCCTTTCGTCTAGCTCTCCCAATATTCTTTCTCAACCACGATGAGGCGCGGGATGCAAACCGCTTCTTTATTCTTTTGTGGATGTAGGGATCCCATTCATATTTGTTCTAAACAAAAACATAAAACAGTGTCACAAAACCTATACAAAAACATCAAACAAACTCCAATGTGATAACAAGGTTTTTAGCAACATATGAAAGTATGAAACTATACAAAACCTGAAACAGAGTCCACTAATGCTCACTCCGGGACTCATCAGCGTGCTTGTAAGAATGCCAAGGGCCATGAATGTTTGTCGTTAGAATACTAATGATGGTGTCCAGAACAGAAGGTTTGCTACATAACAATGATTAAATAATGTTGTTATTAAATAATATTTGTTTTAAAATTATGTAATCTTGATTAAGACTATTAATTGCCTTCTCATTTCCAAGAAGGTTATCTATGTTTTTGTATGACATTGGGAAGGGATGTCATCATTCACTCCGGTGGGTGGTTCACTACTAGCTCTGGAGTGGACTGATTCAAGATCATGGTCGGTATTGGGAGAGTTGTGATTCACAATAGCTTGCCGGCGGTTTGTTGTGATTCCACCGCGACAGCGACCACCACGGCTAGAACTAAAAGACAGAAGACTACTACCTCTACCAGACATCCTATTGAATTACATGCATATATAATTTGTATACAGATAGAGTACAAAGAATATTATTTAAAAAAGTGTGAAGTATTTTTAAAACCCATACAGATAGTCCACACATGCATACAGACTACCGAAATAAATAACAAATAAAAACATTAGGTAGTCTAAAAAATAAATAAACTACCGAAATAAATAACACATAAAAAAATATTATAGAAAGAATATTCTTTTTTTTTTAAATTTTAAAAAAGCAAAATAGAAAAACTGTTGAAACCCTAAATTGTCAACCGCCAATAGTAGCACTGCTGCCGTCGAAGCCAGAGCCGGCCCTTGCCCTCACCGGCATTGACTACCGCCGCCATTGTCGGCACCACCAGCTCATGTCCTTGCCGGCGCCGCCTGTCGCCACCCTCGTCGGCGTTGTTGCATCCTTGTCGATGCATCGTCGCCATACATCACCGCCCAACCAGCGTCACCATCCGCCTTTGCCGCCGCCATCCTACCATCGTCATTGCCGCATGTGTTAAATCCGGAACCACCACTTCACCTCCGAGTACTGCCTCTGCCATCACACCCCACCACCAAAAATATGTCATTAAATTATTGGAAGATTTGGCCTTGAAGATTACGTTCAAATCTGTCTTCAAAACAAATTTTTCAGATCTGCCATCATTAATAGTAGATTTATATTGATCGATTTAGACAAATCGGCCATCATCATGGCATATTTATATTGACCGATTTACACAAAACTGCCATTATCTTGGCAAAATATGAAGTCCATAACTAAATTTTTTAAAAAACAAAAATTTAAGAGAACAATAACTTTAACAAATCTCAATAAGAAGTGAATGACAAAAAATCAAAAAACTGATTTTCACAAAAAACTGTTTTGCCATAATATGATTGTCACATTACATTTCTGCCATAAACTTGGCAAAATTGTAAGCCATCATCCAAAAATTGCCATAAACTTGGCCAAATCTGAAGCTATCATCTAAAGTTTTTGAAAACCAAATTTTTGTTAAAACTTAGAGATCAGAAGCCGCAAAATCGAAAAAGAAGTCTGAAATTGACAAAATCAATTGCAAATCAAGAAAATCAGAGGAAAATTGGAATAGAAGGAGAAGAAAGAGAAGGAGAAGGAGAAGAAAGAGAAAGAGAAGGAGGAGGAGAAACCTGAAATACGAAGCAAAATAAAGATAATGGTGGTGGATAACGAAGGCGGTGAAGGCATAGACGGTGGAAGCATCGTGTGGTGCAGTAGGCGGCGGGCAGATCCACATGGAGAAGATGAGATACCAACTCTTTGCGTTGAGGTCTGTGAGAAGGAATCAATCGATCTATGAAATGAGAAGGGGAGAGACAAAGCGTAAATGGGTGCAGGGGCAAACTTGGGAAGCATATTTGTGTATCTTTAACGATAGGAGTAATTTGATCCTATTAAGGGAAGACAACCTAATAAGTCATATTTTTGCATTTGATCCTTGTTTTAGTCCTATATGGGACAATTACTTAAAAATAAAATAAAATACCTAAAAAAAATAAAATAATATGTAGGTCACTGCCAACGCGTCCTCTACCTCCAAGGACCACCGACTTCGTTCGCCAGAAAAAAATGCCATCTTGTGTAAAAAATATCACATTTCTCTGAAAATGTCATAAAGATGTCATTTTTACTCTTTGAAAATATCCAG